CAGACAAACATAAAACAAAAAGGGGTTTTGAGCCACAAAATAAATAAGTGGATAAGAGAACAAATGATACAAATGAAATAACCAAAGGAGGTTAAATTAAAATGGATACCTTCAAAACAAAGACAAAACATAATCAATAGGAAATGGTTTAACATTTGTGGATTAGGATAAACTTTTTTTCTACACTCCTGACATAAAATATTAAAACATCTTTTACTTCAATAGGTCGGAGACGAGCCTCTTCAACCATCAGAATGACCTTTTTACAGTAAAGTTTAGTAGAGTGTCGGAGTTACGCCTGCCGCAATAAATCAGTTAATCACATGACAAATTAAAACAAGCTCAATCATTTCGATTTGCATGATTTATTGTTTTTCTTTTTCTACCAAAAATTGGATGACAAAAGTCTTCAGTCTGGTGCTTTTCTGTTTTGAATGACAATTTTGTTTACAGACTTATTTGCTGTTTCTGTCGTTTTGTTTATTTATCTTGGATATTTAAAATGTCTTCCAGTTCCAGTGTTAAATATTCATCAGAAATTAAAGTTTATTGATCTTTGAGAATGTGTCATTTTGCCATTGACACTATATTATTTGAAAATAATCTCAAACTGACAATCTTATCGTTTATCACAATAACTTCTGAGACAATCTGTTTTTGTGACAGGTCTAGTTAGAATACCTAAGAACTAAAATATTATACCTAACAAGATCTGTGAATGTATTCTGGATTTGGTGAATGTATTCTGGATTTGGTATGCACCTTAAACAATTTGTGAAATATTTAAGGTACAAACAAATGTCAATATTATTGACATACATTACCTTGTATCTAACGAGGAAATGATGCTGAAATGCAAACTTTTCTAAATCCAACAAAACAGAAGCTAGCTGAAGCACAGAGCTGAGATCTTTTATTAAAAATGAGTGAGACAAACCCAAAACGTAACATTTGTTCCAAAAAAACCAATGGAAAGCAACTTATTTTAATGCAGGGCTTCCCCCAGGTGTATCATAAGCCTGGCGGGCCACCAGGCTTCAATTGTGCCTCTACCAGGCTAAGCATTGCTTATTTATTTAAGTATTTTTAAGACTTTGTTGTTAGTGTTCAGGTGTTAATCTTCCAATCTTAAAATAATTATCAAATTATATTTTCAAATTTCCTGTCAACTTTTAAAAAATGCAACTCAAAAATACAACGGGCCGCTGGATGAATGACTTCTCTAGCATCCAACCACCGGGCTCAGCACGTTTTCTGGGGGAAACCTTGTAATGCAATTAATGATAAAACAGTTTCCTGTTTTGATTAAACCTCCAAAAACAGATGAAATCATGAGTAGCAGAGCAGGCCATTGTTACCTGGTAGAAGCCCGGCTCTGCCTGCATGCTGTCCATGCTCCCTGATAGCGGCACGCTTCCCTGTCTGCCGTAGTTCTGGTTCAGGCCGTTGGGAGGAGGCGGCGTTTGGCTCAGGGATATTTCACTGTTGGAAGCTGGAAGTCTGTGTCCGGCGGAGGAGGAACTTCGCCGAGCCAGGGTCTCCTTTCTGTGGTGGATCAGCTTTCTACGTCACAGCAAAACAACTATTCAATTAACAGAACATAATGCAGCACTACTGCCAAATGCTCCCCTTTCTCTCTGTCTTACTGTAGAACATCTCGCTGTTCCAGATTGTATTTGCCTCCGTTCTTTAAGGCCACGTTGTGGATGCCTTCGATCGCTCGGTCAATGGACTGCAGAACCTCATCTTGCTCCGGAGCCTGGTGGAAAAAAAACAACAAAAGGGTGAAATATTTATTAATATGGCAGCATTGTTAGCTATTAAACTTTAAGCTGAACAGGACATGGCTTGGGGACATATGTGGCTGTAGGCGGAAACAAACGGGGACAATTATGTAACAACAGTCTTTTACAGCCTTTTTATGTTTTACAAACACATTCCTTAGAAATTCTTCATTGGGATTTCATGTGATGGGCAAACGTAGCGTTGTCCGTATGAAAGGGGAGAAAAATATTTTTGTAAACAAAAATCTGAAATGTGTGGCAATTCATTTGTATTCAGCGGACCTGCGGTACTCACAGGGTTTAGAACCGGCAGCCAGAGTTGGGTAGTAATTAGTGCTTAATGCATTTAAGTAACTTTTTGGAAAAAATTTACTTTTAGGACTATTTTTACTAAGCTGTGCTATTACTTATGTAATATTATTACAAAGTATTTCTACTGTTACTTTGAGTAACTTCACTGAAGGAAGAACAAACTTGTTTTAACAACAAAAAATATATATAATAATAATCCCCAGACACAGATACACACCTGCAGCTTTTGTTAAAGTTTCATACATTTCATATTGAAAAAAACTAAATTATTATTTTTTTGTAATTATGTTATTTATGTGAATTGTTTTCGTTTTAGTCCTTAAAGTACATAAATGTCCTCATGTCTTAATGTGTTGGTCCATCTGATGATGCAACTTTCAAAAATCAAACCACTGATGTACAATTACTCAGGACTTACGGAGCCTTTCTACCAAAAAATGTTTGTTACTGTTGAATTTTTTTTTTTACTTTAATTTGAATAAAATATGTTAAACTACTTACGTACAACTTTTACCAGTTTTACAAATCTATAACTGAAATGTTTGTCCACTCTTCTTTGGAAAATAACTTAGGTGCAGTGTGATAGTATAATGTACCAATTCTTGTCACAGATTCTGTATCTTATTCTGACCATCTGTGAAACTCTGATCAGGCTCCCCCTTGATTACAGCATGATGCTGCCACTACCATGTTTCACAGTTAAATGTATGTTCACAGTTTTCAACCACAAACAGTTTAATTTTGGTCTTAAGCACCACTGACAACACTGAATTTTAATTAGCAGAGTCAGAGTGCAAGGGGCTGAATAAAAATGCACACCACACTTTTTGGATTATCATGATTTCCCCTCAAGTTCACCACAAAACACTGTGGTGTTTCATCAGATAAAACCACCATAAAGTACAATAGGGTATCCTGACTGAATTGCAGGGCTCTATAATTGCAGTCATGCGTGCTCAGAAAACCTCACATTCAGGATTATTAAGTTTAGGAGAGCATGCTGCCAGCTCAGGCATCCGAAACAGCACGCAAGCTCCGACTAGTTAGTCTGCATCCAAGAGCAACCTCCTCATTACTTGACTCATGTGGAAGGAACAGAGAAATACAGCATGAATCATGGTCTATCTAGAAGTTAGCAGAAAGGAGTTTCCTGCAGCTGAGCGCGTCTTTATTGCTTAATGATCCTTTTTGCCATCAGTATTCTGCGCCACTTCTGTCCCACCCCGAGTCTCCCCTCTGCCGCTGCAGCGCAGAAAGATGAAGGAAAGTCTCTGCATGACGCAACGCTTCCTTTAATTTATGATTTATTCAGCAGGCATGCACCGCTGGATGTGTCTCTCTCGATCCCATTGATTCAGCCCTTTTTGTCACCAAGCGCATCAAGAGGCTGAGAGCTCAGTGTTCAGACAGAGGGGGAGGAAAGTGGAAACAAACGCTGTGCATCATACTGGTGTACCTGCAGTTTTTCGATGTAAGAGGCCGGGATGTAGCCGGTTTCCCCCGAGCTGCAGCGGGACCCCAGCCACCAGTGTTTGTTGCTCCTCTCCAGGATTAGGAAGCTCTCCCCGGCCGCGAAGTGCAGCGAGTTGGGCTCGGACGATCGGAAGGCGTACAGAGACCGGTACATGGTTCAGAAATACTTGGACAAACCGAAAAAAGCCGAGAAAAAGCGTAGAGTCCAAGCGGAAGGATCTGCTCAGCTTGGGGGGATTTAAAGAGCCCATGAAGGCATGGCTACAGTGAATGGCTGATGTCTATTTACAAAGCAGCTCAGATCATCTGACCCCTGTTGTACTACCAGATGCCCACGAGGGGCGCTGTTACATCCTGAACGCACCCACCAGGCATTTTAATCGATATCAGAGCTGTTACTGGCTTTTACTCGATAATCAATGTATTATGAAATTATTACATAATTGATTTATATAAACAAATATGCTATTAAACAAAAATACAAGAAAATATGCTGCTATTAAAATTATTATTCATATTTAAAAAATAAATCTCAACTATTACAAAAATATATATTCTTAGTAACTTTTAGCAGCTAATTTACCTACAGGAAAAAATGTAAGTATAAACAGAGTTATTTGTTTTTCTGTACCAGTATTCACACGAAAATAATGTAAAATACATATATCATGGAGTACAACGTTGGATGTAATGTTTAATTGTAAATGATGTGTCAACAACAATTTATCAATTAAATGCAACAAAAGGAATCATAAAAAGGTTGTTTGTAATAAAACCATATGTTTTGCATTGAATCGTGTTAGATTTCACTGAAAATTATAGTAGGCATTGCAAGAAGAAGTAAAGAATGGGTCATTTTTTTTTCAAATTCCAACATTGCAAATAAATAACGTTGTTAAAAGTGATTTTGTAGATTAAACCTCTTAATGTGCCAAAACAGCTAATTCTAATAAATAAATAAAATACTATTTAATATTTAATTACAAAAACTTAATTTGTAGGTTTGTTCTTCTAACCTTCAGTCAGCAGACTATACAATATTTAACTGGAAAAATATTTATTTTGTTTGAATGCTTTTATTTTTTGATTATGATATTTCATCTTAGTCTTTAAAATACCAAAAATGTAGATATGATATTACATATTCGTCTATCTGTGGAAATAGTTTTGGAATATTATGTCAGATGTATATGACCAGGTGCTCACTTTGAGTTTACCTTTACCTGAGTTCAGTTTTTGGCTCCTCTAGTCACCTTTGGCTTTAACTTCTCATTTAGTTGCCCCAGTTGCCCCAGCATTGTAAAACTGTTACCTTTCTGTGTCGGTGGATTGGCGTAAAATCAGTTCAAACCTCCTCAACTAACGTGGGACAAAATATTGTTTGACTTTTCGACACTCGACTGTTCAGTGAGGAAGTGGTGTCACAGCGAATTCCGTCCCCCTGCGTGTCACCGGCTCAAACATGGCCGCCAGGTTCCTCCTTCAGAGATCAACACAGGGGCTCCTGTCCTCCTCCAGATCTGTACCCGCTTTCTCCAGGTGTGTTTCATTAACCCCCCCGAATATTTAACCCTTAAACAACTAATTACGGATGAATATGTCTGCTCTTTATTGTCTCTTTTCTCTTAGAAGGGAGGACATTTTAACGCCATGGTTTCAGTTATAAAAGAGTCCCAGTCGTTTTTTTTTTAAAGTTTTGTTTTTAAAGTCACTGCTGTACTGATTCGCTTTTATTTTGACTAAGACTTTCAGCCTAGATTTAATACTATACTATGCCTAGTTAAAATGACAAAATCACAGTTTACAATTTTAAAACAAAACAAAAGTTTCTCTGCAGCTCAGCAAATAATTGATTATAAAGAATCAAGTATTTGGGAAATGTACTTATGCTTGTGTATGTCTTGTACAAAAACTGGCCTGCAACATTTGGCTGTCAGTGCCTAATGATTGTTATTTAAAAATTAACATGATGGAGGAAAATATAAACACTAATTCATAGCATCTCAGATTTTTAAGCAATTCTTGCTGAAAGTATGGTTTTACTTTATTTCTAGTGTTCACATTCAACCTGGAATAATATATCATTTTATTTAGGTATTTATCTAACTCGGATATGAATTTAAAAGAAAACAAAATACAACCCTAAGTTCGGTTCTCGTGTCTTTGATTGCAGCCCATTTCTCTGCCGAGGTCACAGATTAGGGCCAAGTGACGATGAGATATACCAGCGGACCAGCGTGTCCATCATGAAGAGGGAGGAAAACAATGGGTTCCTGATACACAACTACAGTCCTATGGGATTCAACATTGATGGAAACCGGGTGTTAGGGCCCTGCGCTGTGATACCTCCTGCCATCCTTCAGTGGAACGTGAGATCACAATCCAAACAGTCCCTACGCGTCTTATTGTGTTTCCCTCCAGGTGAGTGTGTTCTAAGTTGGAAAAATTGTTTCTTTCTGCAGGTTGGAAGTTCTGAAGACATCACAGAGGAAAGCATCTCTCTCTTCCACATGCTTGAACCACCTATAGGTACGACTTCGAACCACAAGGTCACGCAAGAAGAAACATGATCATTTTCCAAATACTTTAAGCGTTTTGATTTATTGAGTGTGAAATATCTGAAATTTAGCTCTCTTTGGTTTTGTGTTTTGTGGTTCCTCTAGCAGAAGTCGTATAATTTGAAAAAATGGGATGGACAATAAATAAATATTGCGATAGACATCGGATCAATATCATCTAATAGAATATTTAATGCCGGTATATAGAATATTCACTGGTCTTCGCTATAGAACCGTACAGCATTCTGGGAAATGTAGGCAGAGGAAAGGTTTTAGGTCTTTCCTCTGCTGGAAATCTCAAGCAACCTCTCAGCTCCTTCCTGTTTGCCCTTTTCCTTTTCTGCCCCCTTTGGGCCATCTCTTGCTACTGCATAATTTGAGTATTGGAATCAATTGTAAGGCATCTTTAGATGATAATTGGTGAAAACCACTGCATATTTCTATTATGTTAATATCCATGAATCTATTTTCTTTCTAAGGCACATAGTATTTAAAAGGATTTACTTTTTATTTTTGTATTTTTTTCTCGTGCTGGTTCAGAGATTCTTGTGCTGGGCACAGGGCGTCGGGTCGAACGAGTTAACCCCTCGGTCCTCGCACTCTTGAAGAAGAAACGCATCGCTTTGGAGGTGCAGGACACGGTAAAGATCACTCAATCTTTCCACGATAGTTTAAGAGAAAAACAGATTTTACTTCAATGAATGTATTTTTCTAAAATGCCCATTTCTAAATGTTAATAATTTGATTGCTCTTTTGCAGCCCAATGCCTGTGCAACGTTCAACTTTCTGACCAGCGAGCGGCGGCTGGTGGCCGCTGGTCTGATTCCTCCCTCCTACAGCAGAGCTCTCGAAGTGAAACAGGATGAAAGTGTGGGCTCAGAGTGAGAGTCTAAATGGTCTTTTAAAGATGAGGTTCACATTCAAGTGGGAGGACTGACTCTTCTGCAAAGAGGCTTCAGGATAAAATAGCAAACTGATCCAGCTATTGTATTTCTGCAAACATCGGGGTAAAGGCAGATTGAAGCATTTTTATCAAAGCTTTGAGCCACTTTGAGAAAATTTGAAACAAAGTTGTGGTTAAAAAGTAAATACAACTTTCTGTCATAAATGAGTTGAGTAAATCTGTATTTTGCTGTATAAAGTTGTTGTATAGACTGGTTATAAATACACTTGTTAAATACCACGGTTTGATTTATTTATTATATTCAGTGTTTCCATTATTTGTGTAAGAAAACATTTCACCATTTGCCATTTTCAGTCTTCACAGCAGCATGTACAAAATAAAACGGACTAACAAACACAGGATCTAAAGTGTGTGACGTGTCGCAGGCTGTGCCGAGGCGAGGAGCCTGTTTGTGGCGGCTGTCCTCCTTCTGGATAAGCCTCTTTGCTCTGTGCGTCCAGCAGCTCTGCAGCAGACAAGTTGCCTGTGCAGCATATGATATAATTCACTGGCTTTGTCCTTCTCATAAGCCCCCAGCAGAGAAGAGGATCCACAAATCCCCTGCATGTTCGATTCATCTCTAATCAGCTGCTGCGGCGCAGCATGTCCAAAGTCATTCTCAGCGATTAAACCTATGTCATTCAGATCTGTCTGCAGCTGGGCTACTTTTACCTGAAGCAAAATGCCCACATCACTCAGCTCAGAGTGAGCTTCAGTTAATAGCACATAGAGATCTATTTTATTGGTATTCTAAATAATATTCACGCCTCTCCCTAGGGATTTAGCAAACTCTATTAAAGCACAAACAACGAAATGTGTACGGCCATGTGTTAGGGTCATTTAAGCCAATTTTTTTTCTTTGAAAAAACAAGCAAAGTTTTGAGTTTGAAAAGTTAGTTTTCGGGGAAAGAAATTCTGAAATTTTGAGGTTATTTTCTGAAATTTTTGAGCGAAAAACTTGGACATTCCTGAGTTTTAAAAGTTGCACAATAGCTAGAAAAAAATTTTCTAGAAAAAAAAACCCTTTGCAGAAGTTGAAGATGCTCAACTTTTGAAACTCAAATTTCCAAGTTTTTTTTCTCCTCAAAAACTTCTGAGATTAATCTCAAAATCTGAGTTTTTTTCTTGCAAATTTTCGACTTTTCAAACTCAAAAATGTCTGTGTTTTTCTAGAAAAGTTCTCAGATTAATATAAACATTTCTGAGTTTTTTTGGCAAATATTTACTGCTACTTCCCCATCTAAAATGGCCCTAATATGCATATTAAATTGATAAATGTAAGAACTACACAAAATAACACAAAGAAATCACACAGGGAAGGTACAGGGATCAAAAATTACACAGTTTCATGCAGGCTTTCTCAAACAGAACCAATTATAACAATCAAAAGGAGAAAAGGGGATTTCCAACATTTACATTTTCAGTCACGGTTCACTAAATCTACAGAACTTCTTCACAGCTGTGTGTGGTAGCCATCTTGTCTGTTCAGTCGAGCGTTCCTGATGCGGATGGCTCTCTCAGTCGTCATCAGAGTTGTGGGACAGATTGCGAGGTCTTCCGAAGCAGAGCTCTGCTCCGGTGATCCGCCGGTACATGTCTTTGATGTCCTCACACTCTGAGTCAAAGTGGTTTGTTGCATCATAAGACCGGGACACAAATATCTAATGCAGCAGAAAGAGTTTGGAGGAAACTGATAAAATGCTCTTCAGTTGTAAAAAAAAAAAAAAAAAAAAGATTGTTTTTGCAGCGTTCAGAGCAGAAGTTTACATACATCCATTAGCATGAATCTTTGAATAAATTTGGGCCTTTAATGTTTTTGTCTTTTTTTTCAGACATTCTTTTTACAGAATAAATATACAATACTGCACAAGTTATAATTTCTTGTTGGATACATACAGGCTAAAATATATAAATAGATCCCCACTAATATGTGGTTAAATGTTGCGTTGAAACATTCATAGCTACAAACTTTTGCAGCTATAAATGAGGTTTTGGATTAACCTTTGACCACTCGCTTTACCAGAAGTTGATTTAATTTCTGGAATGTACTTGACTTTTCAACACAGACTGTTTGTACATATTCAGTAGGATTAAGGTTAGAGTCCATGTGAATGTTAGTGTTGAACCCATCAGTTTTAAAGAGTCAGTATTTTGTGTTTTACAGGCACATGGTGCATCTTCTAGCATAATCAAGTAACTATGTTACCTTTAGTTGTTATAAAAATGCTGTAAATATCAAATATATCTAAAAAGAAATTGGGCCTCTGTCTCTTTAAAAACTCCTGAAACTCCGCCTTCAGGAAGTCATCGCAACATTGCTCCTCTATTGAGCCTTAGGTAATATTTTTAACACTGAGCAGTAGCCGTATAATGATCTCAGCAGATGTGCAGTTCCACCAGGTGTTTGCTAAATGCTGCTGGCTAGTCTGAAGGAGCTGCGTGGGAGGGCTGCCATTTGAGGCAAAACCTTGGAAACTGCAGCACGGTGGTTTTTACACCACTGAATGGTTGCCATGGAGAAGACAGGATTTCTCAAACACGCATGAAAAAATAAAGCCTTCACTCCAGGTATGTTTTAGAGGAGGGAATAACATTTATTGAGTTTTGACATAACGCTCAAAAAAGTCAATTTTGCATAATACTGTCCATTTAATGTACAAGTGGGATTATTAATCTGCTACAAAACTCAATTCTGCTCTAGCTTTCATCATGTGAGCTGCTACCTTAAAATGGAGCCTATCAAGTTTATCATAAACAGGACGCTGCTTGAATTGTCGGCAGTGAAGGGACTTGTGCCAACCAATGCATGAGAACCTGAGACAAAATCCACATAACGAAGAACGGCTGAAATGTGCAGCTGCCCACATAGACAAGATATTTCTCGGAAAAGCTTTATGGTCAGTCAGACCAGGTCTGAACTATTTGGCCACAATCAAGGTATGTTTGAATCAAGCACGGTGGTGCTGGCATCATGCTGAGGATCTTTTTTTTTTTTACTCCCATGGCTACTATTACATTTTAAAAAATTAGGTGAAATAATGAAAAAGGTTGAAATATATAACAAATGCATAACGTGTGGAAGAAATTTGTATTTTTCATAAAATTATTTCAGTTGTTTGTTGCTCAAGATATAATAAAAGTCACTGAAAGCCCAAAATGTCAAGACATTCATGCTGACGATTGGTGTATGTAAAATTGTGACTGCCTCTGGCGGCTCCTCTCTTTACCTGACTCTTTCTTCCGTCCTCATTCGGAACCAGCAAGTTGGTGACGGAGACAAATCTAGAATGATTAAAGTCAGGCAAAAAAAATTACAATAAGGTAGTAAAACAGACCTGAGCACAGCAAGAGTCGTCACTGACTTCTGCATGATGGGTTCCAGGAACTCCAGGACCGGCTCCACTTCTTTCTCTGGATCGCTGGTCTCTACAGTCGTGCTCACCGTGGCGATGTACATCCCGTCCGAGGCCAAGCTGTGAGTGTAGGACACTACAGATATGTAAACGTCTGCAAGGACGAAACAGAAACGTTCGTTCAGAGTGGTGATCATAGCTCACAGTCAGTATGGATGAGAAATCACATGGTTTATTACCCGACTTTCTGTTGAGCTGTGCCTGAGGGATGATGATCTGACAGGAGCTGGCCTCATGGGTGTTTTTAACTGGATGATTTAATAAGCAGATAACCCTGATGACACGTCCAATTTTCCTGACCCGGTTAGGGACGTAGCTGGGATCACAGATTAACTGCTTACAGTGGAAAACCTGTGATAAACAAAAAGAAAAGCTTATATCATTTAGTTTTCTGAACATCTCAACTAAAGTTTCCCCCACAGTCCAACGTCTGCTCCACCTTCCCATCCGATTTGACAGCTTTCACTTTGCCGTTGTCCAGGACAATTTCATCCACTGGTTTGTTCAGCAGGAAGGTCCCTCCATACTCTGCACTCAGTCTGAGAAACACACAAAGACAGAAAAATTAAAAGTCACTATAATCCAGTAAATACATGTAAATACACAATATAACATCTTACAGCAGAAATTCTCACCAAATATCTATAACTACCTAAGAAATCCACACACACAACAAAACCATGATAAATTAAGTTTTGTGCAATAAAGTGAAATGGAACAAAGAATAAGTGTTAAATACAAGATTAAAAAAATCATTTAATTATGCTTAAAGCATAATTAAATGACGCATCATTTCAAACTAATATCAAAGGGGTAGTTATTGGTTTTGGCCAATAAAACATTTACTGAGATGTTACACAGGAAGTATCCCCTAACAGGTACAAGCAAAGGGCTCTTTAAAGACTTTTACACTTTAATATTGAAAAATTTAATGACAGCATTGGTCACAGGCATGTGATTAAACTACTGGATGCTCAAGTGAGCTCCAATGGATGCGTGAAATACCGCAAATTAGAGGAACCAAATAATAACCTGAAGAGTTGTCAAAGAGTCACAGATTATTCATGGACAAATTCAGGAAGATCTGAAGTGAGTATAAACATTTTTCTTGTGAAAATAATAAGTAAACACATCAACAGATGAAGAAGAAACTTGTTGAAGCTGGCTTAGTGTTCGCTGCTGAGATTTGAACAAGTCAATAAAATACTAGGAGAATATGGTCTGTTCAGATGAGAGCAAAACTGAACTTTATGATGCTGCAAAACAATGTTTGGAGATGAAATGTTGCTGCACTTAGTCCCAGTAACACCATACCAACAGGAACGCCTCGAGGCGGGAACATCATGGTATAGAGCTGATTTTTCAGAATCTGCTACAGACAGACTCCTTTCAATAAAAGGGAAAGTTGATGGAGAAATGCAGGTTGGAGTTTGAAGAATTAACTATCTGGGATTTCTCAGCAACACAAAGATCCCAAACAGAAAGCTGAGCAAATTCAATACCTGATTAATGCTTGATGCTCGTTTCTTCACATAGGATCAATCTTCATTACCAACAAAGACTATTAGTACTAAATACATTTTAGTACATTTCCATAGTGCCTTTTTTTATGTCGTTCAACTTTATTACATGTTTAACTTCTGACCTACTTTGCTTTGATTTCTTACATGTTGACTTGAGTTTGATACAAAAGTTTCAATAGAAATAAATCTACAATAAAAACATTTGACATGTTTCAAGATTCTTTTTTTCCTACAACACAGCAAGAATTTCAACACTAAACTCTTAGTCAAGAATTTCACAAAAGAAATAGTGTTTCTTAAAACACCGCCTTAACGTTGCGATTGAGACTCGGTGAGATTCAAACAAACTTACTCGTTTGAGGCAACAGTGTTAACAACTGCACTGTGCAGCCAGGCAGTGAAATATTTCTGAAATGTTGTGATATTTAGTTTGATCAAAATTTTGTTTTGCTTTCATTAGTCCAGTTAGACTTTGCCTTTGCCTTTCAACTCCATCTTGTGAATTTGTGAATATTCAAGAAAAGCTGTCAGTTCTGCATGATGGAAATGAAACTAAATTGTTTTTCAGAGGTAAATTTCCATTGTTATCGTAATTTAAATAAAACAAATAGAAACTGTCTGCGCCCCACCTGGCGAATCCCTGCGGTAGCTCGCCGAGGCCGTACAGCGGGTACAGGTACGGACTGCTGTTGTGGCGGGACAAAGACTCACAGTACCGCTTGATCCGGTTGATGGTTTCCAAACAGGGCTGATCCAGGTAGCTGCAGAGCAGGAAACCACATGGAGGCAGACTGAGGCATTTGAAACATCTGGGATCACTGGTTCAGATCTTGACTGACCTCTCGCTGGAGTGTAAGGCTATGGCGTGACCTGTGACCTCTATGACATCCTGTCCCAGGTCAAACCGGCTGAACAGCTCTCGCGCGGTCGTTTTTTTAGGATCCACGTCCTGGTGAGTGCGAGGGTTTCTCGCGTCAAAGTTTATGACAAAGTGCAGCATCTTCTTGAACCTCCTCTTGTCAAACATGCCCATCAGATCTGAGAATATTGTAAAATCATGAAATACATTTCTGCCTGTCGATGCAGATTGAAAATGCTAATCTATGTCACCTGAGCTCTGTGCGTCCTCCTCTGTGGCAGGAACTTTGTGCACTTTGCCTGCTTTGAACACATAACTCCCTTCAACGACTTTGAAGTCCAGATAGCGAGTCACCTCGGTGTGCACCAATATCTTTACCAGCTGGCCTGAAGCAAACACACCTCAGCTGATTGCGACATAAACCTAAAACAACAAGCTCACTAATAAGATGAGCGACACAAAACTCACCAGTGGCAAGAAAAAACTTGGGGACAAGATCCACGTTCCACTCTTTCCCTCGTCGGATGGATTTAGGAGGGCCTGGAACCTTAAACCGCCTGTACAGCTGCGAACAAAATGAGCTTTTAATACCAGAAACAAAGTGTAATGATAAAGATGAAAGTCTGCCAGGCCAGGGCAGGAGTGGATTCATGGTGGCGTGACAAAACCGTCACAAAAAGTCTCAGAATGGAGATGTTGCACAAAACAAAACGCAACAATTATTCCCATTGCTACTAAAAGATTATAATGTTTTCAGTATTAAAGTTATACCAGTATTTTTAACATTCGTTCATTTTTTTATTATTATGCTTCAAACTAAGCAAAAATATATAGTGAATACTTGGATTTTCAAGCCCTTTTGCAGGAATCCACTCCAATCTTGGTCTTTGTGGATTAATAGAACTGAGTTGGTTAGTGAGTTGGGTTATCTGCTCCAGTAACCAGCTAACAGAGGCCATGCTAGTTTTAAAACAGTGTTGGTTTGGTAATCAATGTGGATCTCATAAACTAAACATTCAACGTTCAAAAACTGGCATGAAATAATACTTTTTAAAGTTTCATAAATTTTACGAGAGGTTTACGGCCTAATTTTGATTTGTAATCTGTCAAATAATCTTGACATAAATAAGGGATTAATAATTTCAAAACTGTTTCACGACCAGAAGCAGCACCAGAACAAGCACTAAATAAAAAGTTGAGCGCCTCACCGTGCTCCGAAATGCAGTTTTTAACTCATTCAGCTCATAGGATTAAAGGTCATTAAGCCAGCTGACTGGTAGTGCTCAGCGACAGAAAATACTCCAAACAGTACACTGTAAAACATATGAGGGTGGTTCAACTTGAAAATGAAAGTCCATCTGCTGCCTTGAAATGCAATTTAAATCAACAGGAAAATTGTTTAGGTTTAATTCAGAAATTAAAGTTTATGAAGTTGATTTAACAACAAGAGGAAAATTGTCTAAACTTTGTTTTTAAGTTCATTAATCTTGAATTGTGAGTTTTAACTTAGATGTTGAAATTTAAACAAAATAATTTCTTCACAATATGCAACAAAAAACTGCCCACATAGTTAAAGAGCCACATTTCTCTATCATTTTCACTCATTATATGAAGTTATAATAATTATTCATTTTACTTTAGAATAATAAAAAATCTTGTTTCAAATTGTACGAATAAAATTTTTGATCTTATCATGAATTTTATTCAACATCAAAAATGATTTTTACTCAAAAATTAAAGTAAACATTTGCTTTAATAAAACACAAGAGCCAGATCAACGTAATGCACAAGCCGCTAAGCAATCTGGGAAACAGTTCCCACTCTTTTCTTTTTCTTCTTTCAGTTTTTTAAGCACTTACCTGAAAGCTCCAGTTTATTCAACTTTTTGAGGTTTTACAAAATTAATGAAAAGTTAACATAATTCACTACCTTTCACAAACACACATTTATGTTAAAAATCCAAAACTGGCTAAATGTATTTGACTTAAAGAGTAGAAGAAAGTAGACACAACTAAATGTGGTTCAAATGTTTTGCAACGTAGAAGAAACCTGATCTCTCAAATGCCATTTATTTTTCTTTTCTTTTTTTATTGTTGCATTTTTGAAAGCATAACTCTTTAAAACCTTGAGGTGTTTTGGTTTGAACAGACCTCCTCCAGGGGAGAAATGGAAGCACTTTCTCCTCCATGGTAAGAGTTCTTGTCGATGTGAAGGACCTTTTTCCCACTCAGAGACATGAGGCCAGAGAGGACACATTCCTGAAAGAAGGAAGAGGGGACAGGAGGGGAAGTGGGTCAAATGCTGTTGGAATCAGCAGTTATCAGTTTGTGTAAAGGCAGATCAGCTTTAATGCCATGATGTCACACGATAAATCCCCTTCGATTGCCAGAAGGAGCTCAGCAGGATGACGGTCCAGGAAACTGAAAAATGTCCAAGCATTTCTAGAAACACATTAACTTTTAATTCTACTGGTAAAAGTTGAAGTTAAGGCAACAAATCAGTGTTTTAAGGTGCTGGATGCAAATATCTACAACTTAGTTTTGATTTGACCTTGAAGTGATTGCTAAAATACCCAACTCTACAGACAGCTCTCTTTTTAGGACTGGAAGTCATTGTGGTGCTTCTGTTTTCAGAAAATAATCTTGCAATAGCCATTTCTAACAAATAATGTTGCTTTTCCTGAACCTTTCAAGTTTGTAAATCACCATATCGGCAACTTACTAAAGTTCTCAAGAATCAAGGCTGTAAGTTTCTGACAGAAGAAAATGCTTGTTTCTCCACACTGCAGGCTGATTGTTTAAGAGAAACAACATAATGTCTTTTCTTACCTTAATTCCAGTTCCAAGCACTATCACATCATACTCCTGCATCCTGATTTTGTCTCTGATTCAATCCCAGCTGCTTCCCCTGAATGCAGTTTATAATGTCTGTGCAGAGAAACAGGTGACACGGCGGTCTGTGAGAGTAATTGCTTTGCAATAATCCTCTTATGATGGGCACATATATGCATACTGTGTGTCTGGGTGTAGGAGTGAATAAGACTGAACCTAAGAGGTCACGTTTCACACTCACACGCTGAAGATTAGGGTGTTAAAATCTAATTAGTGCTATACGTGAATGAAACAATTCATGATACATTTGAATAGTTTCACTGTATTTAAATATGCTATTTAGTAATCTCTTATATTTTAAAGCGTAATGTTTTCAGTAAGATGCTTATCAGTTGGTAGCAGGGGCGCAACTACATACTGTCGGAGGTGCATGCAAACATGTCATCATCCCCCTGCTATCCCCCCATGACTTAAACTTGTACAACTCATCTTTAATTAAAGTATCAATAATAAATGCACATACATGTGAATAAATAGCTGCCTATGTAAAGTAAAAGCAATACAAAAAAAACAAAAAAAAACAAATAACACACACTACCCAAATATAACTGGGTTACACCTACAGGGCAATTAGAAAAGAGTGAAACGATAATTATTTAACTGTTAGCCTGTGTCTAGTACCGCCTATAGGCTATAGGTTTATTGATCATAGCTTGATAGGAAGCCTGATCCAAAATGGCCACTCATATTAATAAAATGGTGAAAAAATAATATTAACCACAAAACATTGTATTCATAAAAGATATCAACATTTTTCCTACACAATCTTAACAAACGCTTTTAATGTTGAAAAAATATAAACGGTTTCTCTTCACAATATTTATTTTCTGTCCGTATTTTTGCCAGAGGTTTTATCTCTAGGGACGGTGTGGTGTCTACCGGGTGGACGTTTTAAAAAGACGCGGGTCGATAGCGGCTCACTGCGGCTGCGCAGTGTTCGTCTCTAAGCAACCGTGACAACAGCGTCAGTACACTGACGTTACTGTCTTTCAACCACTTTGAGAAGCTTTTCTTCGTCTCTCTAACATCTCTATCCCTCCCCCTCTTGTTTAGTGCCCGGAGTGAAGAGGTAGTTCTTCACCGCTATCTGAGTGTATATATTTAATCTGTATATTTAATCTTCGATTTTAAATTGTAAAAGTAGAAAGTCGTGTTTGTTGGAGGTGGAATACTAATTGGAATACCATCTTTTTAATCAAACATGTCAAATTCATATTAAAAATTTCTGCTTATCTTTGTATTTAACCGTAAACTGGCTGGAGGACAATTTTTTTTTCCTAACGTGAAACTAAGACTACATTACCCATGATTCTCGACCTAGAGCTATCTGTGCAGTGAAGGTCGCGGTTTTTCTAAACGGCCCGCACGGCTGGGCGGGAGCTGAGATCAAACATGACTCCGCCTTTCCTGGGCTGAAGGCGGGACATTCCGTGCCAATGCGTAAGCGAACCCCGGCAGGCTAGCTGTTCGTCAGTTTGCTAACAACTTTGTGATTCCTGCTTGCAGAGTTAACCAAAGTCAAAGAAATGTCTTCACAGCAGACAGTGAGTGATATAATTTACACGACTTTAGTTTCGCTTCATAGAGAGTATTTTTTATTGTTGCTTTTTTAACAAGGTACAGACTACTTTTTGCAGTTATGCTTCCTGTCCCTTGAGTTAAGCATTTAACTCGAAATGATCTTTTAGCATTGATCTCACAGTTAGTGGAGTTCTAACCATGTGTATAGAACTGTGCTAGGATATTAAGGTAAATGTTATCAAAAAACCGAGACATTACATGTAAGTAATGAAGGTGTATCAGCTATTGACGCCCAAACACCAAATTTAGACACAGTCTGATACTTTCACTTCTTCTATCAACTCCAAATTATCTGTATATAATATCAAAGTTGTAACTGACCCACTTCATTTGACTGAATTTGAGAATCCATTCAATTTCATTTGGTGCATTTGTTTTAAAATATACACACACACTAATATTTAAATAATGTGTGATGATTAAAAAAACCCCAACTGTTATACATTAGATAAAAGCGTAGCAGCTGTATCTGATTATATTGATGCTTTAACATATCAAACATTACGTGGTGCAAAGAAGCATTCAGCTTCAATGCACTTAAAGTTTGTAACAATCTTCTAGAAAATTGCTGAAACATGGAGATAATCCATTGGATTAAGGGTTAAAACCCAACCTGTTTAGAGTTGCCTTTGATCAATAGTAAGTGAAACATTGATCAACATATGTGATGTGTCTTTTGTTGATTATTTTGATGACATTTGATATAAAAAGTAATGTTTTATTGCTTAGTTTTGTAATCGGTGAATGTAAAGCACTTTGCCTTGTTAAAATGTGTTATACAAATAAACGTGACTTGACTAAATGGACTCTAAGGTTTGATTGGTTGATGTGTGAGTTTCTAATTGTCCATAAAAGAGTTGTGAAGTAACACAAAAAAAATGACATTCTTAAATCATTTTCACAATTAATTCTGTGTTTCATAAATATTTACTCATAAAACTGTCAAATTCAGTTTTTACTTTATATGTTTATGAACTATAGTTTTATTAAACTTTGAGCTGTGTCTTTTTATACGTTTTTTTTTTTTTAGTTTTCAAAACCAGAGCCTGACCAACACACTCGCATATCTGTAAAATCAAATCCTGGATTTCTGGAGCGTCTGAGTGAAACGGCAGGAGGAACAGTCGTCGGCGTTGGTCTGTTTTTTCTCTCCATCTACATCCTCTTCACTAATGAGGTGAGAAACAGTCTCTGAGCGAGAAAACGGTTGTTTTGAAGTGTCTCACATCGCGGCTGCTGCTGCCTATGTCAAATGAAGACACCTGGACAGAATTAAGAAGAGGTTTTTCTTGTTTCTCTCCTTAGGGTCGAGCTTTGCAAACTGCCTCTTCTCTGGAGGAAGGTCTCTCCCAGGTGAGGTCGCTGGGCTCTTATCCAATCCTCGACCTGCAGAACAACGGCCACTTAGTTCATCTATCTGCAGAGCTACAAACCCTGAAGGTAGGCTGTTGTTGTTTACACTCTGCACACCTCAATATCTTCCTTGTGGATATTGTGATCTAAACTCATAGCTGCACAAAAAAAAAATGGTTAAAACAAAAATCTGTGGAAATTAGTATGCAACAAATTGTAAATGAAAACAGAGGTTTGGATGCTGGGTGACCACCTGCCACGACCGAATGGGTATTTGAGAAGACGAGGCAGAAAGCAGAGGAAGAACCAGAAGAACTGATGTAGGGTTATTTTCAATCATCTCTGTGAAGGTAAAAGGTAGAAGAGAGAGAACTATGAGTTGATGGCAGCATTATATCAGCCGATGCCATAATCCAGGAAGGTATTGCAGACAAAACAAAATGCCAGACAAGGCGTCGCTTTTATGGAGTTTCTTACCTCCAATTTTGGTCACTTTTTACGATTATAGAAACCAAGTAGAGAAAAGTATAAATAAAAACCTATTCCATTAATGGCTATTGTATGCTAATTATCTCATTTAATGAGGAAACCGACTAATTTTGCCTGTGAAGCTGCATAGAATTCAACAAATAGATGTGCAGTAATCAAAGAGTGCATGAAAACATTTAGGGAAATGACATGCAAAATCTGTCACAGAAATGTTTCTTTAATGTAAATGGACTTTTTTTTTGAGTAGATTCCTTTTTTAATCTAATATGTTCTTAGCTTTTCTTCATGCCATGTGATTTTGATGGGCTGAATCTGATTTATTCCTGCCCAGCCCCTCTATGACCCCAGCTACAGGGTGGTGGTCCAGGCAGTGAAGCTGCGGCGGCAGGTGGAGATGTATCAGTGGGTGGAGCATAGTGAGAGCAGGTATGTCCGCTCCCTGCATATCAGTGCCCAGAGAAAGCATCAAAACCTTGACCCTGAAATCATTTCAGGGATTACCAGGAGAATGGAGAAACCAAAACTGAGACAACCTACACCTACAGTGAGTTCGCTTTTATCGTTTTAGTGTTCGCCTGTTGTTGTTTTTGCATCAACTCAACCAGCTTGTGGTGATAAACGTTGTTTTTTTTTCTTTAGACACTGAGTGGAAATCAGAGGTGGTTAACAGTCGTAACTTCGATAAGGAAATCGGCCACCAGAACCCGAGGTACTGAAAATGTTTGGAAGATGTTTCGTTTTTGTGCTGCACGGTTTTAACTCAGCTGCTGGTTCACAGCGCCATGCCGGTGGAGAGTGTGACAGTGGTGGCTCAGGAAGTCCAAGTGGGATCTTTGATTCTGTCCAAAGGTATTTGCTTCTCTGAAAATCTGTCAGTAGCTTTTTTTTCCATTACAAATATGCTCAAATCTTTGTCTGTATTTTGCTAATGCTGAAAGGCCTGGTGGAGCAGATCAACAACTTCCAGACTCTGAGTCTGAAGGATCTCTCAGCCTTTAATCTGGATCCTTTCCTCTCCATCCATGACAATTACTTCTATCACACTCAGTTCCCGCTTCGGCCACAGGTCAGCCTCTCGCACAGTATCCAGTATTAATGTTGATCAGACATGTGTTTTTATTATTATTATTATTATTGTTATTATTATTATTATTATTATCATTATTATTATTATTATTATTATTATTATTAATATCTTTCTATTTGATCAGGTCGGGGACGTCCGAGTGAGGTTCTCCTTTGCCGGACTGAGTGGTGAGAACAGCTACCTCGGACCGCCGCTAACAGTAGGTGGTCCAATAATAATAATACTAATATTCATAATGTATTATCAATAAGTGTAAAAGAGAATAATAATTATCATTTTCTACTAGCTCAAAAAGGAGTGCAATAACACCTTCTTTAATTCTTGAAGTAATTTATCTACTAAAAATAAAGGTCCTCATCCATCCATAATTATATTAGATATCAATATATAATAATTCTACATGAAAAGAAAATGAATAAGAAACTCCAACATTGTCATCCCTCACAGTTTTTCTATTTTTACAGTCAGAAAATATGATCATGATCAGAATCCATATTTTCTTATCTTTTTTCCTCTTTGACTAAATGTACTTCAGCTGAAGATTGAATTTAAAATGAATTCAATGTTTTGCTTCAATAGTAGATTATTTATATTTTAAAGCTGTTTTGACACATCTTTACCTGCAGTGCCAAAACATGTGATGGATGTTGTTGGAAATGTGCTTTTATTAAATTATATGGAAAATGCCTATTCATTAATTGCAGAAACAAATTAGCATTAGTAATTTTTATTTTATTAATTTAAGATTTTGTCACCATAGAGACTCATTTTTTTGATTCCCTGCAGAACGTAATCATAACTTCCTGCAGGAAGTCAGCGTAGAGGAAATGTTTAGCTGAAACAACAAATTCGATAAGAAGCCATGAATGTGATTGTGTTTGGATGGTGAGTATTGATAACATTTAAACTTTTTCCAGGTGAGTATCGTAGCCATGCAGAGAGGAGAGAAATTGCTCCCCTTTAAGACGAAGTCTGGAGACTTTCTGGAAATCATCTACCTGGAGGAGCTCACCGCAGAGGTCGGTGTGGATTCACGTTTGTTTCTTTTGGTTTAAAGTGTTCATATTTCCCTCCTTTTTTTCTAATGTATGTTTCCTAACTAATGCAGCATCTGTGTTTTAATGTGCAGGAAGTGTTCGCCAAGGAGCATCAGTACAACAGAATGAAGACGTGGGGCCTGAGGGCTGCAGGCTGGTTCCTCATGTTCATTAGTATTCAGCTGACCACACGCATCCTCCACACTCTGGGTAAATCAATGCTGACACTGCAGAACTCCATGTTCAATTCACATTTTTTATTCGTTATATATTTTTTTCTTGTTTTTGAGTGTTTGTTCATATTAGTATTATTATTAAACCTGCGTATTTTCAGCCTCGTTTGTCTGCTGTGAACGTAGCCTGGGTGTGTCAAAGCTCATCCCACGTGTGTTTTTGTTGCTCCGTTTCACTTGCAGTGGATTGGGTTCCTCTCCTCAGAGATCTGGTTTCTTTCGGCCTGAAGATCTTCGCCCTGTGCCTCTCCTGCTCGCTGTCTCTCCTCGTCATCGGGGTCGGTTGGCTGTTCTACAGACCCTTGGTGGCGGTCGCTCTGGGAGCCCTCGCTCTGCTTCCAGTGTTTCTGGCTCGATCAGGCCTTCCCCAGAAGAAGAACGAATGACTATCGCAGTGAGGATTCGACCTGGGTCCACCTTGACTGCAGCTGTGCAGCAGAAAACTCAGACAATGTTACACAGCTACTTTTTGAACTCCAAAGGTTTAGAATATTTCTGCACAAAATGAGTCTCGCAGCAGACGGAGGAGTTTGCTGCCTTCACTGGTCATTAATCTTCGACATGAAGCATAACAATCCCTCACTCTGCCAAATAAGACGCGCCCTACTTTGTTTTGAGTGTCAACATAACTCAGCAGGCAGGTGTTTAGTTATCTCACTTGGTGGTGGACGTGGCTTTGTATTCAAGTGTCACTCATGGACCCTTGCAAACGACAAAAAACTTTAAATTGAACTGGTTTCATACCCATTATTCTACGACCAAATTTGATACTAATCCCAGACTAAAACTGTCTCATTTCAGTTTTGGAAGTTTCTTTCCCCAGTAGTACAACCACTAAAGTTTAATTTGAAGTTTCTGCTGATATTTCTGAAAATATGACAGTCTACAAAAAACCTAAACTGTAAGAATGGATGAAGGAATGCATAAATGGATGGACTGATTGATGGACAAATGATTGAATGAATGGATAGAAACAAAAGGATAGATAAACAGACAAATGGATTGATGAATGAAAATTTGAATTTTGGAATTGATTGGAGTGGCCGATGGGACATGGACAAGAAAAGCCAGAAGTATTTAATATTTTTTTACTCATCCAGATTTGAAGGTGTATGGAAAACACAAGTTTTCTCCAGACATACTGATAGCATGTTTTGGCTTGTTTAGAGGATTTACTTTGTGTTGCTTTTCAATTAGATCACATGCAGAATATCCGCAAAAACATGGGGAAAAGATAAACAGTGTTTACACTCGGATGCCACATTTATAAGTTAAATTGTTTTCAGGGATGGGATTAGACTACTTATGGAAGTTGGTCTTATAATTAAGTTTGGATGTCTCTTAAAGATGCAGAATTTTTCTTGAACCATAAAACGTGGATGGTGCAATTTTCCATTTTTCTAGCTCACATAAACCAGAAATCAAAATCAATTAAATCAAAAGCTTTACCATATATTTTAGTTTCTCTGGTGCAGGTCTGATAATCAGGAAAGAATTTAGTCTACAAAAGTAAGCTTCACCATTTGCATCTGTGTTACATGTGAAACGTTACTTTGTGTGTTTGTTTACTGTATGCCTAATTTATAAACTGCAAAAATGTAATGGGGCGTGGGAGGCAAATTGAAGTAAACGGACACAATTCAGTTTACTTGTAAACGTTGCATGTTGAATAAATCCTTTCGGATGTTTGATAAAAGTCTGAACAGATTATTCACTGGAACGTACCAACACTGACTGCAAGAAGGATAAACAAACAAAAACAAAAAGCAGGCGCTAATTTTGTCCACCAGGGAGCACTGACAAGTTTATTATTTCAAACTGTTAACATCCTGATTGATACATATAATTTATATCCTACTAAGTAGTTCCCGGGCTTATCAAAAGTTGCTTCCACAAATATTAGTCCCTAGTCAGGCTCCACAGACGAGACAAAAAGCTAAAGGAGTGGCTTGTATAAATGTCTAATGCCCAGCGTATCTCCTATGTGCACCTCTTGCACTGTGGCTGAACCAGAAAACCTGACCAACATTGAAACGAAAAAAAAAAACACCCCAAACTGGCCAACAGTGAAAGTTTTAACCCAAGAAAACAAAACAAATCCACCTGAAGCCGGCGTTACATTTAAGTTCTGGTCCTCAATCAGCGTGTCTCAGTCAAGTCAAGCAAATTATCAAGATTCTTACAAAGTAATTTATTACACAAAACACTTGTGTTTTTAGCAAAACCAGTTTCCAGTATAGTAGTGTGCATTGGGTCACAATGCACAGAGGATTGTTTCTAATATTGGGAGGCACGCTGCCGGGTTTAGACTCGCTGCGTGCCTCAGTTTGTCAGAATAGTTAAAGGACTACATGTCACAGTGTGCAGGTTCTTCACCCTAGTTGGCTGTGGACACATTCCTCAGATCAGCAGGCAGGGCTTAAGCACTTAACTGTAGTTGGCAAGTATGACACAACAGCACCCTGGGGTGACCTTTACAATTACATACAACATGTTTAAGGAGCTTTCATTATGGCAAATTTTACTCATGTTAAAAGTACAAAAAAGTATTTTCCATAACCTTAAAGTTGAATACTGACGACCTGACTACTTTTGCTTAAGACAAAACAGTAGAAGCATGACACCTTTAGTAAAAACAGGGGAAAGCAGTCTTTGTGTGTGTTTATCTGGGGGTAGGGTTGACCTAATTCTCCTTCTTCTACCCCCTGCAGGAAGCAGTCCTCATGCCCCGGTTTACAGTAGGATGCATTTATTGCTCTTCTTTCCCCGCCTGGCCTGTAGTGCAGCCCTGGTGGCCATCTCGAACACTTCCCTCACGCCATCCTTTGTTTTTGCAGAGCACTCCATGTATCCGAAGGCACCGATCCTGTTGGCCATATCCCGGCCATCTTCTGGTTTCACGGGTTCCTGCAGAAAGGGGAGAACAGGGCGGCTTTTAGGAAAACCCACAGCTGATGTGACGGAAAGGATGTAAAAAAAATCAACAGGGACCAAGAAACTGATTGATGACTGAAATAGCTGATATTCAGTCGAATAAGCCCTGTTCAGTGGCTGGTCAGAAGCTTGAAAATCCAATCTTCAAATGAAAAAACGCACCATACTAAACACTGAAGCTACACAGAAAAACCTCTTCAGTAATAATGCTGCTGCTGACTGAAGAAGACTGAAAGTCAGCAATTTAAAGTGTTAAACAATAATATAAGAGGCTGTTTAATGTATTTTCTGTCATGTCAAATAAGGTTGAGCAAAGTACAACAACGTTGTTCTTTTTTTCTTCATTCGCCTCCACTTCCTGTCTGTCATGGAACATCCTGGATTTGGGAATGTTGGCAGGCTTTTTGAAATCTCAGCGTTAAAGGAGACCCATTATGCAAAGTTCACATTCTACATGTTTTTATGCTTCTGTTTGGGTCTCAACGGCTTCTAAAAAAACAACCCGGTGCTTTAAAAGACACACCCGGCTGGCTGTGTTCTGGGAAGAAGTTCATGTTTTTTGGCGTATGGAAAAAGAGCCGTCTCAAAAACCTCCTGATTGTTAAAACACAATGCATTGTTGCCTAGTAACCCCAGCTCGTCGCCTAGCAAACCCAAGCGGAGAGCCAGGATGTTTGGTCTGCTGATTTTACAGCTGTGTGTGCCGTACAATGGCTGCTAGAAGAGACAAGCGTTTTGTTGTTGAAACCACTTGCTGCATTCTTGTTGGTTGAACAGGAGGCTCTATTTCTGCTTTTCAAAGATGTATGGTTGTATAATGGCACATCTGTTTGCAGCCATTTTCATATGCGAGTATAAACTTTGAGTTGAGGGGCGTGGCCAGCAGCAGCTTAGAAGAATTTAAAGTGACAAGACACCACAAAACAGGTAGAACTGAGCAGATTAAAATCTCTATCTAGGAATAATTTTGTGCAAAAATGTAATAAAAATGTTTTGCGTAGCTTGTAGACCTATCCTAACCTCTTAAAGGAAGCATAATCAATCCCTTTTAAGGTAAGAATCGACATCCTATTGGCATTTGGATACTGTTTTGTAATACTATCGATAGGATTAGACCACATTCTGACTTATTGTAATATCAGTGTGCAGTATCGCAACCACAAAGACCTCTGGAATGGACTATATGTTGCTATTGTAGTCTAAGAATTATAAATTCATTTTTTGGATCCCAATTATACATTCAACCGGTTGGAGTCGGGTTGCAGTAAATGCCAAGAACCTGACAGATGACATGAACAGAGTGGATTTTTTTTTTACAGCTACTAAAGTGTTTTGCAGCCATTGCTAGTCACAATGACAGCAGGAAAGTAGAAAAATCATATTTTGAATGTTCTCATATTTATCTACAATAGTCAAAAGAAACTGGAATCAGCAGAAATCAATATTGGCGGGTCAAAGCTGTAAATCAGCAGACATTTCTGGTTTACCTGCTTCATTTTAGCTAGCTCCCTTCGAGTGTGATCATCGTTACGCAAGTCCTTTTTATTTCCCACCAGTATGATGGGAACGTTGGGGCAGAAGTGTTTCACCTCAGGGGTCCACTTCTCAGGGATGTTCTCTGAGTAACGGGACAGAAGACACCAGCAGTCAGATCAAAGACACAGCTGGAGCAAAAAGCATCATCACACAAAAAGAAAAGAAATAAAAACCCTTCCAACTCTGGGGTTTTACTCACGAGGGCACAATGTAATCAATTCACATGTTTAAGATTGTTTAAATGTTCTTGTTCTTCTGGGCAAGAGCACTCAAATTCTCACTGTCATTTATTAAAAATATGTGTGGAAACATTGAACCTGATTCAACAGGTTGCAGAATCATTTTTAATAGCATAGAGGTGTTTTCTGTATGGTTTTCCCTGTTTGAGGTCATTTTTCTGTCCTAATTCTGCACAATTTGAGGTTTTATTCAGAGCTTTTGTATATTGTTCAGGGAAATCTTTTCTTGACAGGCCATATTAGTGGAGTTTATTTCTGATTATACCATAATTGACACTTCACATGCAAACTGAGAAATTTAGAGTTATTTTAGAATATTTTGGTAATTTCTCTGTTCACTCTTGAAAATATTAATATTAATAATATAAACACATCTAATAGCTGCCTTCATACTCTTTCTGTTGCTATTTTTTTTACCCCAGTAAAGGTCAGAATATTTTTATTTATACACATAATAACCTTTCAAGACATCTGTACTTAACCATAACAATTTTGGATAAAGAATAATAAATGTCAATTAATAAAGATTCCCTATGCACTGATAACAATTATAAAAATCTATTGCTGGAAAACTACATCATAAACATGAACCACAACATTCACAGAGTCCCGTTTTTAACTCACCAAGACTGTCTGGGCTGTCGATGGAGAAGCACATGAGTATGACATCAGTGTCTGGATAAGAGAGTGGGCGGAGTCGGTCATAGTCCTCTTGACCTGCTGTGTCCCAGAGAGCTAATTCAACCTGCAAGGAGTTTAACGTTATCAACCGACCCCTAGCACTGAAGCTATCCAAGTGTTTACAAGCTCATAATGGTCATAAAGGTGTACTATTTTACTCTGAGTTTTCTCATTCCTCTACTCAAAACCCTGTGCACTCTAAATATTTCTAGCTCTTGATTGACAGTGTAGAAAAACAGATATAAATATGTCCTGCTTAAAAACAAACTTCTGTTAGCAAAGAGCCCAGGTGTCATAGTTTCTAAATTACATCAGGTCCATATGTGGTTAAAGTGGATATATTATGTTTTCAGATTATATTGAGAGACGCACCAAAACCAGATGATTTTATACTCAACTGATCCTAATGGATAATCTACTGGGCAAAACTAAAAATCCTCATCTATTTCCAGTCGGTGAATGCTTCATGCATGTACATGAGCTCTACCACGTCACTGACAATCTTCACTGTTGAAAACAGCTGCTGAAAGATGATACAACGGCTCTAAGTAACAGTGAAGAGTTAAAAAAAGAATAAGGACTAAAGTCGACTTTTGCTTCAGGCAAACGACAGGAAGTTAGGAGCCAGCTGGAAGTATTAGTCAAGTTACTGTTTTATCCTTTTCAAGAGTCCAATTTGTCTGTAGGAAAACATGAAGGAGTAGGAAGTGACTTGTAAATCTCACAGTTAAGATAAGTATCTGCTAACGCTACAGGGAATATCAACAAGGTGCTATTTGAAATGCTAACCACAATGACCATGCTAAAGACATGCTAGGATGCTAAAGACAGCTTAGAAATGGCAACTCTAGTCATTTTCTTATTGCTTTGTGGCAATAGTAGATTTCTGTTTATATTTAGAGCCGTCTAACACACAGTGTGACTTGGCTTCTGCCCTGATATGAATAATAAACATTTGATTCTAATAGAAAGGATGTTTGAGACTCATTTAAAGTGATAGTAAATTCATTTAACATTTCCTCGCAAAAATTTAATTGGATGACACTTATTTGAAAAAGTGAATATCTTAAGATATGGTGCACTCTAAACTTTGAAGTGTGCAAAAAAACAATGATATAGGCAGTTTTTCCTTAAAAATTTTATTTACGAGTACCTAAAATAAACTAGCAGACCTTCAGCTACCCAGAATGAGAGAGCTCTAAAACTTTGGCCAGTTTTAAGGAATTGCTTTGTTTTACTATTTTGTGGTTGTTTGTAGTGTATGACATTTCTATTATTTGTGAATGGGAGAAGTAGAAGAGACCTGACCAGCCGTCAGCTGCTGAAACCTAATAAAATGCTGTTTGACTGAAATGTGGAAGAGGAAAACAATCCCTACCTGTTTTCCGTCAACTTCAATGTCAGCGACGTAGTTTTCAAACACTGTGGGCACATAGACTTCAGGAAACTGGTCCTTGCTGAATACAATGAGCAGGCAGGTCTTCCCACAGGCTCCATCTCCCACGATAACCAGCTTTTTCCTAATTGCTGCCATGGCTAGAGAAAAGAGGGCATGACACACACACACAAAAAAAAAACCAACGGAGGTCAGTCACAGTACCAGAGGTTGTTATCTGTCTTTAACAGGGCGGGTCATTTTATTATGCAACTTTCTAGCCCCGCTGCGCCTGTGATAAACTGTGAGCACATCGCAGGTTCAGCTGTGTTGACACAACCCCCGACTAAAACCAACACTCGGGGCTAACATCCTGACTTTCTGTCACTGCATCATGACGGCTGAAAGCAGACCGCATCAAATACAACAAACAACAATGACAGGCATAAAAGTGGCTGTCTACATCTATCTGATTAATGTCGGATTTATTACTTTTTGGCCAAATTAGAGATCTCTTCTTTCCCGATTGTACATTTCCGCTGAGATTGTTAACCATCAGGCTCGGTTAATTATTCCTTTTGACGCACTTTGTCATAAATTACTGGCACATCTTTTTGCGAATCGTTGCAGAGCTTTGTGGCCTGGATAAAACCAGGCTAAAATAGTTTTCTGTTTACAAAAGACTTAATGTTAGCTGTGGAGGCTAACTAGCTACGACAGGATGTAGCGTAGAAGCTAAGTTTTTATATTATCTTTCCAATTCAGAAGGACTTTGGGGTTTATAAAAACAATTCTGAAACATCGTTGTATTAGTAGAATAGTTATATGAGCTAAATTGAACACAATTGGCTTTGAAGTCGCATACCGGCACGGCTAGCTGGCTAACAAGAATTAGCTTGGCATAACGGAAGTCGAGACGAGTTTTATCGTTCCATTAGCTAGGTGGCTAACATTGGCAAAGAGTCGGTAGAAAATCTACTTTAAAAAATAAACCTGATACATTAAACTGTACATTATAAACCCAGTGAAATAAATGTAGGTATATTTTGTTTGTAGGAATGGTGGACTTACGTATAGAAGTAGTGATTGGTTAGAAGATTATCGAACTGAAGTCAAAGTAGCGCTTTGTTAGCCTCGGTGTCTGCTGCTGATGCTACAGGATTAACAGGAGGGAAGTGAGGGGGTGGGGACAACTAAACAGTTCAAAACTGGATACATGCACGGAGATGTGTCTACATACATCAATATTATAACGGGTTGATTATCTACATTTTATGTAGTCAATATGGACGTTTTGTGTGTGCGTTTTAACTTGGGAAAGAGATAATCAGCCAGGTTTACTGGAAAAGGACAAAAGAAAACAACTATTGATGAATGAGATAGATAGATAGATAGATAGATAGATAGATAGATAGATAGATAGATAGATAGATAGATAGATAGATAGATAGATAGATAGATAGATAGATAGATAGATAGATAGATAGATAGATAGATAGATAGATAGATAGATAGATAGATAGATAGATAGACAATCTTTAGAGTAGGAAACATAAGAAAGAGAGGAAATCCTCTGCTTTGTTATTCAGATCAATGTTGAATTGTCTATTTATACAATGGGCACTGTGACAAATAAGTCTGGATGAGGACCCAAGTACAGTGCAGAGGACAGTAAGGAAGGTGAAAAATAAAAATCTCCACAGCAATCGTTAGACGGTGAGCTAACCCAGAGGTCTTCAATTCCAGGCCTCAAGGTCCAGTGTTCTGCAGTTTTTAGACGTGTCCCTGGATCAACACGCCTAAATCAAATGGCTGAATTATTTCTTCAGGATGCCGTCAAGTTCTTCAGAGTCCTGCTAAAGAACTTCTTATTTGACTTTCATGTGTTGAAGCAGAGACACATCTAAAGCCCTCTTGGGCTAGTTTTGAAAGTGTTCAAGAAAAAAAAAAAAACTCAGTGTGCTTAATTTTATTGGGACTTTGAGAATAAGATCAGCCTTTTACAAGGCAGTTGTATTAATGGTGGATTAATCATGAAGTGATTGTGGTGGAGGTATGGTGAAGTATGGTGGAGGATCTGTGATCAAACCTTTTAAAAATACCAGGAAATGTTAAATACAAATCTGGTGGCCTTTTCCAGAAAACTAGAAATGAATCATCACTGGGCTTTTTTTCCAATTCAAAACAGAAATATAGAAAGCAGATAAAGGACTGTCTGTGGTGTTAGAGAGGTTAACACTGGTGAGCTTGTAAAAATAGAACAAATTTGTATAGTGAACAAATATAATAAACTATAGACAGATTTTTCAAATATTTTTTGCTGTGAGCTTTTACTACTGCAATAAAATATTAATTTATTGAAATTGGTTCTAATAATAAAGGTTAACATTTGTGTCTTGACGTTTTATTCTTACATCTGATCTGGTATTTTACCATAAACCAAATAAAACACGTGCATTTAAGAACATTTGTGTTGAAGACGTGGTAAAAATAAAAATAAAAAATAGAACAGCAACAGGAAATGTGATCTTTTTTATATGGTGTACTCAGCCTTTTCAGATCCCATAATTGTTTGAAAAAGGAGGAAAAGATATTGAAGTAGAAATAATTATTTTTCAATTCTCGGTCGGTGCAGCAGCGCACTAATAGCTGCAGCTCTTATTCTAATCCTGATAAGAGGCTTTCTCGGTGTTGTTCAGCTGCAACTCCTGGAAACCAACTCAGATGCGTTTCCATGAAAACCTCTCATTCATCTGCGCAGTGAAGTGGTCAGCCATTAAAAAGGAAGAACATTTTTTCTTCTCTGAAATCCAAATGATGATGCCCTTCTGAGAATTAGCACAAAAAAAGTCTCCTCACAGACGTTCTTTATCATCTGCAGTTCTTCGTTGAAGTGGCCTCGGTTAGATGAAAATGAAAGGAAATTTAGTTTCCCATCTAAAAAGGAACATATTAAGAATACATGCTATTTATTCAATGTCCTTTATTTGGTTTGTAAAAAATATAAATTACTGCTGGAAAACACATCATTTTCGTAGCAACATAACTTTACTTACAGTCCTTTGCAAATGTGAATAATTCCAACTGCTTTCTTATACATAAACATCACTGTCATCTACAACAGAAAGTGCTGTATAATTATCAAATGAAAGAGGAAAAATGCAATGAATTAATTTCTTTTACAAAAAGAAACCTCAAATGTATGTTAATGTGCAGTAGTATTCAGCCCCCTCTGGGTCAACGCACCGTAAAGTCAGCTTTCAATGTAATTGCTGTATTTTGGGGATTTAAATATTTCCTCTCTTTCTTTGTAAGTAAGAAAGAGAGGTTCAATGTCGACTGCATGAACCACTTTGAGTGTGAGTCATTGCAACACACAACTGGTTACATAAATAGGGCTGTCTGTTGTTTGGCTGGAAGGCGAACCACCAGCCGAGTCTCAAGTGTTTTGCAGCCCCTGAAAGGTTTTATCACAAAATGTTTCCTTTATTTTTTTCCCCATAAATCTTGATGGGGAAGAAAATCTTCCTCACTTCATGACGCTGCCAATCAATAACAAAAATATGTATTACAGTAGACATGTGATCAACATCAATAGACTTTACATCCAATAGAATTTTCCACAATCCAGAACCGCACAGCATTCTGGGTGATGTAGGCAGAGTTGCTGAAATCAACAAACGCACTAACTCTTTGGTTACTGAGCAACAGCCTGCTGAGCAACAGACAAGATTTTGGCACTGCGCCTCATATTTGCTTAAAAACAAAAAACAACGGGGTGGAGTGAAAGAATAAAATGAGTACAACAGCTGGAGAAGGAGTTGTGGATAAACAGGAAAGGTCACACCACAAGTTTAGCAGTATTTCAGATATTTAAAACAAACAAACAAAAAAAAAATCAATGATTAGCGAAATATGAAACGTTTTGAGATACATTTTTCAGCCACACCATCCAGGCCTAATGCTGCCATCACCATGCCAGAGGTGTGATGTGTTCAGGGTAATGTGTAATGTTAGTTTTCCACCACACATTGCCAAAAAGACATTTTTAAATCCCAGTTTACCAGGACACATTCTTCCACATGTTAGCCGTGTCCCTCATGTGGTTTGTGGTAAACTGCTGAAGGGACAATCTCAGTTTTCTTCCAATAATAACTTTATTATCTTTTCTTGATAACAGCTCCCTGTGTGATGTTTAAAGGTTGAAATATTGTTTTTATAACCTAACTCTGCTTTATGCTTCTCTACAACTTTCTCCCTGCCCTCTTTGTTCACTAATGCTCTCTAATAAATCTCCGTAGCCTTCACAGAACAGCTGAAGCTACACTGAAATTAGATTACACACAGATGGATTATTCTATTAACCAAGTAGGCGACTTGTACAACTGGCAACAATAGATTTTTATTGGAATATCAGAGCACATGTGCATGTCATGGTTTTAAAGCTTTTTATTTATCTTTTTAAAATGAAACATCATTTTCATTCCACTTCATAATTATGTGCTACTTTATGCTGGTCTTGACTTAAAATCCTACTAAAATACATTAAATTAGGTAATGTGAAAAAGTTCAGGGGTAGAAATATTTTTGAAAAAGAACAGCATGTCCAACAGAAACGAGACGTAAATTGCAATCCTCAGTCCTGAATTTGTTCAGTTTTGCAGCACATATTTATCACACACTGCACTGTGTTCAGACCGACATAAACATGACGACCACTCATTTTTACCTTCTTCTCCAGTGTTAAAGTGATTAAAGTTCTTCAAACTCAAAAGCTCAGATAATTTGGTTTATTCTGTAAAATTGTCTCTGCCTCATTGCCAACCATTTAAAATCCACAGGTTTTCTTTTGCAGCTCAGAATAAAACATATTGGCCTTCACTGCATGTTTCACAGTTGCTAAGGTAAACATAGAAATCGGAAACTTATGTGGAGTAATGTTGCGGTTTCTCGTATTTGGGCCATCTCCGTCTTCTCTCCCTGTGCTCCACTGAATGTGATGCAGGATCCAGCGCAGCTCCGCATCCACAGGAATGTTCCTGTATCTTTGTCCCTCTGCGTCCACCGGGCTGCCATCTTCATATGAAGAAAGGGTAGTTCTGCAGGAAGCGCAGCAGCGGCTTTGGGAGGGGCAGCTGGTCGGAGCAGTTTGTGTGTTTGTTGATGGCAAGGCGTGCCAGGTGCTGCAGAGAAGGAAAACCCTGCTGCACGTTGTGCAAAGGACGCAGGAGCTTAAGAGGAACACCGCTGTCTTTAGCCGCGCGCTGCGTTGGGTCCGGCTTGGTTTGGGGCCGGACGGACTCCAGGTCCTGCGCCGTCTGGCCTGAGGCGGTGTAGTGCTGGACGAGTCTCGGAACGTCTGGGAAGGATTGTAGGTGAGGCAACTGAGGCGACGTGGAGTCCAGCCAGAAGCTGCCTCTGTTGTACTCGATGCGCACACTGGTGGGCCCACAGCGGGTCTTTACCGAAAGGGCCAGCATGTACTGAGGGTGGCTGCTGTCCCGCACCAGGAATGTCCCTTCGGGCTTGGACTGGAGAACTTCCCGAGCTTGGCTCGCTGAGATAGAACCCCAGTACCAACCTGGAGAATAGAAAATATTTCTAATGTCAGCTTCTGTCTTTTTTGAACCAACACTAATTGTGTTACTTCAACTGATTCAAATGCTAAATGTGTTTGTCTGTTTTACAGAGGCAGCATTAAGAACAAGAGCCCTCCACCCCATTTACGTTTGAACAGTGTCGAGTAATAATTCATTGCATTTACTCAGTTACATTTACTTTTGGTAAATTTTTGGAAAAAAAAACTTTTAGGAGTATTTTTACAACATTGTAGATTTTCTTTTACTTGAGTAACTTCATTATGAAGTATTACTACTCCTACTTTGGTAAAATATTTGGTACTATACCCACTGTGACTAACTTCACAGAATGAAGTTACGTAATTCAGACAGACATACATCTGCAATTTTTGTTAAAGTTTAATAAAAATATTTATTTGAAATTTTATGATTTCTAGATATTGTTTTCATCTGTCAAGTGAAGTTTATTTTCACAGCACATTTCAGCAACAAGCCAGTTCAAAAATGTTTTTAATCACAATTTCAAACAATACAGTAACTAATTATGAAACAGCAATAAATGTTGCATTTTGTGGAATGCCACCATCCAAATGATCAAGCCAACATACATCAAATATGGTGATTAATGTTCCAGTTACTATGAATAAAATGAAGCTTTAAACCAGTTTTAGCCTTGATTTAAAGCACACATGTAAACTCCAGGCTGCTGTCCTGCAACGTTTCGATGTGCTTCTGATGCTCCACACCTGAATAGAATGATTAGGTCATTAAGGTTCTGGAGCTCTGATCTACACAAGGAGGAGGTAATTAAGCCATTTCATTCCAGTGTTTTTATACCTGTGGCACATCTTTAAAAACAGTTTGATTCCCCTGATTTAAAGGATGTCTGTGTTTTGGCAGTTTTGAGGTTTTCTGGAAGTTTATTCCAGATTAGTAGAGCTGAAACATTCTCTAAGCTGAATGCTGTTTCTCCATGTTTGGTTCTGATTCTAATAGAGTAGAATGAAACTATCCATTTAAAGTTCATAAATACCTAAAATGCTGTACAATTTTCGGTATTGCATACCCAAAAGACTATTTATGGTAATTGCGCTGCCATCTGTACGTGGCGATGTAATATAGTCACTGAAATACACCAAAAACAAAGAAAAGTGTGTGGCAACGTAGTTGTGTGGTTCAGTTTGTACATTTTTTTTCCTAAAATATCTACTTGAGATGAAGCTAAATTCCATATGTAACCTTCATACACATTTTCTTCCTCCAACGTAACATAAGTGATGTGAGTTGGTGTCTTTCTGATCCAGCTGTTGGTTTACCTGTGGTCTGCAGATACTGGAAATTGGTGGTGATGCATTGGAGGTCCTGTGCCGGGTGCCAGGCTGGAGGCAAGGGTTGTGGGTAGCAGGAACTTTGCTGCTCCTCGTGATGCAAGATGGTCGCTGCACGGGCAACCATTACGGCCTGATGCTGGATCAGGGCCGGAAATAGAAAAGCGAGCGTCAAGAATCGACTTTCACAGGTGAGTTATTGTTCTGCAGGTCTGTTTTCAATCATCCAAGACTTTGCTATCCCTAATGCTCAGAGATTAGGCTGAATCTGCTGAATCATGTTTTGATTGCTCTGGGGCAGGAGTCTGCAACTTTCATTCCCTCAGCTCTGATAAACTTAATTTAGAGCCACAAATGTCACACCAACTTCAGAAAATAGAGCAACTATTTTGATAAAGATCTACAATGAGGAATTTGCTGTAATGTTTTAAATACAATTTTATTTCTATTTTTAGGTTTTAAAAAGTTATCATTCTCTTTCATCATTTCAGAAAATTTATGTTAAGCACACTCAGTTTCCAACCTAATGGCAAAAGAAAAAAACTAGATCTAAAACTATTGAGCTTAATTGTAGTTCTATCCTGGATTTGAGTGCAATTATTCTATAAAATAACCTGCATTGGTAATTATGTCTATATTTAAAAGAGTTTATTATTCTTAGCCAAACTGGAAAAGCTGCAGGTTTGCAGACGCTGCTTCAGTACTGGGGCTCCCTAAAGCTTTTAACCCATCAAATTACACACAAACTTGTGATCCACAAAAATAGATGGATGAAGTAATCAACATGTGAGCACATGGTAGTGGTAGCATTATGCTGAGGGTTTGTTTGCAGTCATTGCTAATGTTGGATTTCACAAGACATACTAGGAAATGAAAAAGAAGGATGCAAAAGCTTCCAGTTCCTCTCTAGATTGTTATGAAATTGACACAGTGAGGCGATCCAACAGGGCAAACACATTCTAGATGCTCTTTAAGCTGAAAACTAATAAAAATTTACAGGCTGCTTGAAAGTTTTGTCTATACTTAGCAAACCAGGCAATTTAAATAAATGTTTCCATCTCGGTTAAGAAAACTGATCAGATATCAAGAAAAAAACAATCTAAACAGAAGCTTGGTGGTGGTTACAAAGGTGTGCAGATTATTTTGCCAAGGGAATTTTTTTCAAATAATATAATATAAATACAAGGACTGTAAATAAAGTTGTTGTTGGAAAAACCTGCATAAGTTCAAATTTGTTTGGCCAGTTATTTCCTAAAATAACTGGAGCTTTATCTAAAGATTTTCTTTTAAGATTCAATTAAATTATTAAAGCCTGAAATGTTCAAGGCATTCACTCCCATAATGAGATTATGTACATATATGATTGCCACTAAATTAAATTAAAAAATAAATAAAGTCCTGAAATCACCCAGAGTGGATGGCATCGTATATTTCCACCAGAAAGCACAATAATAATATCAAATAGCTTGATTACATGTTCATTCAAAAACAGTATTTATGTTTTTGGAATCCACAGGAAAGAAGGAAACAATGCACGAATAAAAAACAAATAACTACAGCACATGCATTCCATTCAAATGTCCACAATTACTGAAGATATGTTTGACATAAACTTACCTGAAATCAAGGCGAAAGAAAAATAATTTCCACCACTAAAAAATAACCTAAATCCAGTGAATAAAAACCTCAGTGGCTCCAGAAGTCTGAACAGGTGAATTTCCTCTGCTTAAATGAGAGCACAGCTGCAGACTGAGCTCTGTGGAAAGTGCTGCTGCAGTCAGACAGCAGCTCGGTTCAGCTGAAGGTTCCCGGGAATCCGATTCCAGGAAAGATTTAGCGTTTCAGCGCCCGCAGTCACAGATCGTGGCGGTCCGTCAAGCAAACACAAACACACACTTACCGCTTCCTGCACAAATGTCAACATAAGATACAGTCACGATCAGGAGGCCTCGTGTCAAAAACTAGGGAAAATACTGATTCCTCCATACAGAGAGAAATACGCTTTATATGGAATACCGAGAGTATTCTCTCTGTATTTTATACAGCTGAATGATAACAACAGATTTAATTTATGACACTTTCAGAACTCCATAGCAGGCGATACATCGTGAGTTTAGATCTGAGTCTCCATTGCATCAGGAAAAACTTTACTTTCAGATCAGTATTGTTGATTTTTTAAAATTAGTAATCCAGTGTTATAATATATTGATTATGTAATAGCACATAATAAATACAATAATATATGTGAACAATCACGATAACATTATTATTATTATTATTATAATTATATTATATTATTGATTAATAAATAATAATATTAATATAATATATAATACTATAAATAATAATACATTAATGCAAACATGCATTAATGCATAATACATGTGCATTAATGTATTTATTATTTATGCTGTAGCTTTGACATTATAATCAAAGATTATATTTCGGCTGAAGTTTGAAGTTGTTTCTGTTTCTCAGGATTTGCCTGATTCAAGGTTCATGCAGATTTAACTAGGATTGATTTCTGCTTTTACTTTGAAGTCTGCCGGTACTACTTCCTGTACCGTCTGTAACTTGATCTGGATGAAATGTCGCTTGCTGTTATCCAGTTCAGTGACAACAGAAACACAAACATTGGCAGTTTTAATTATATCATGACACTCTCAACTTGACTTTTGAATGTTTTAGCTGATATATATATATATTTAGAAACTCAGTTGAATTTATTTAATGTTAGTTGCTTCTGAAAAAATAAAAATTCTTTCATGCCTTATCAGATTTTATAATTATTTATTATTTTATAATTATTATTATTTATTATTTCTAATCACTATCATCTTTCAGTCAGTGGTTGTTTGTTACTTGAGGTGCAGCTCCTGTTTTCTTGGAAATCAACTTCTTATCTGGAGTCAGCCCGTTTTCTAAGATTCATCTTAACCCGGCCTGTGTTTCCCATGTATTGAGATAATGACCACTTGAAAAGCTGCTGTTCAGCTCTATACCCGGTTTCCAAGAAGAAATGTTCACATCAGGCGTGTTTCCCGTGAGGCATGAAAGCAGCACAGCGCATGGCTTCTGGGTAGAGAGGCTTCTTGGAAAACAGGCTACCCTGTGACCCCTGCTGCTGCTGCTGCTCTCCCAGTGACTGTGGGATATCACTTACACACACGCAGTTAGGAGGAAGTCAGCAAAAACACACACACACACACTGGGAAATACAGAAAATACTTTATATTATGACCATGTAAAACAACAAGTTCAATTTAAATCTTGTTAAATATTGATTGGAGGAGATAATGTAGTTCATCCAAATTTAAAGCGGATAGGCCACGTCACAGTGTCAGAATAGCACAGAAAACATGACAGAAAATCCATTTTAAAACAGAGATTTCACAGTAATTTCTCACTGCTCTTTATGACCTGGATAAAATAAAAATTAAGCTGTAAAAATAAGTTTTAAGAAGTTTTGAATCCTTCAAATGCAGAACGCTGAAAAACACACAACCTTATCAATTATTTTTGGACTAGTGTAAATATCTTAGTACAACTGAAATAAGACAAAACAAATCAATTAATAACTTTTTAGCAAAAAATAGGAGCTAGTTTTAAGTCAATAACTTCTTATTGTTGAAAAAGTTCTAGTTATGAGTGAAATAACCTGCCAGTGGAACAAAACATTTCCCCATATTTAAAATAAAAAACATAACCCGCTAGTAAATCTAATACTTTTTCATCAATATTAAGGAATTTTTAATTCAAAACAAAACTATTTCTTGTTGAAAACTTACTTATATCTGAGTATTTTAAGTTTCAAGATATTTGCACTTCAAACTAGACCAAAATTATTTGGCATGAGATTGTGTTTTTGCATTGCACGCCTTTTTCAGTCAAAACACGTTTACATCACAGGAAAAATGCTCCAATAATTTAAAATTGTTTGCAGAAAGATGTTAAAAATGTGTGCTTTAGGTTGATTTTCTGGGGGTTAAAATAAAAGAGGAGAATCAAGCATTTCACCAAAGCAATAGGAAGTTTTTGGGGAAAAATAAAGAAAACCCCATGCAAGGTTTTCATTTTCATCAGATTGTTTATCCCAAATTTTCATAACAGCATTTCTAATTGAAGAAATCTCAACATAAATGTTTGTCTGAGATTTTAAATAACAAAGCAGAAACCACTGTCCTGTGACCAGCTTCTCTTCTTTGCTGCTTTTGATGCAGTTTTTCCAACTGGGAAAATCCCACTGGACTCACATCAGTGTGGCTCCATTAATTGAGATCAACTTGACAAGTGTGTGTTGAAACTTTGACGTCTGGGGTTTGAAAATACATATTAGCCATTAACAGTGCTGAAATTTTTCAACCAGAATCTGCAACAGTTTGCAATCTATTGAATGTGTTCCTGAAATTAAATTAAATTCAATTAAATGTAGATTTGTTTTATTATTTTAATACTGATCAGCTGTTAAGTAAACAATTTATTTCAAATGCTGCAGACAGAAGTTTCTGGATTTTGGAAATCACTGCAGCATTTCTTGTCATGGTTTGCTACCAAGATTAATTATTAATTAAACTAGCAATTGTCATGTTTTACAAAAATCTGTCTCATGGTGATGTGGACCCAGAGAAATAAATATTTTACAGCAGACGCAAAAAGTAGGACAAGCTTTTGGATCTACAGCTCTTCCAGGAAGGAGGAAAACTCAATGTGTTATCTCAATGTGTTATCTTTTCTTATTTTTCAGTCACCAGTTCTCACAACCCTGTTGTTAATCTTTGACCGTTCCTCTTTGCACAATCTTCATGATCCAGATCATCCATCTAGGAGCTGAAGTTACCAAGAAAAGGCAGGTTGTTTAGTGTCTTACAAACAATTTTTGTGTTGATTTGGCTCCTGAAGCTACTGAAAGATGTGATGACAACTAATTTAAACGTGTGGTTCTTATTTAAACTCGTCAAAGAGTTCATCTTGTTGTGCATTCTGAGAAGATTCTCCAGAATCCCGCAGCATCACAGGACTACAAAGTGTTTTTTTCTCAGCATGTCTCCCAAACCACCGGTTGGCATGCAGATAGCATCTAATGTTTGCCACGAAGATTTGGTGACCGCAACAGCTTAAGAGATTTATTTTTACCTTCCTTACCATCCTGCTCTCTGTGCATGATGACGAGATAAGACTGGATCCTCTTTCAGCCGTTTGCAGTTGTTTTAAACTTTTGTAAATTTTTATTTATGTGTTTTGATTTTAGAAACCAGTTAGATCTACAATTATGGCGACATTTTGACTTAGATGACAAGAAAAAAATGCTTTAGTGTCTGTAGGTTTGAAGTGAGGCTAAGGAAAAATGTACTTCTGTGTTACAATATATTTATACCAAAGGAATACAGGATGTTATTGATTGCTGATTAAAGGTTCCTACACATCTCGAAACATTGAGTAGAAAAAATGCTTTCATAACATTTATTTTACACAAGCAGTGTGGGGTTAGTGATCTCCAGCTGTGTTTCTCCACAGAATAAATGTGATAAAATTAAAGTTTGTTTGTTTTCTCCTGCTACTGAGATAAAAGATTAATTTGCTTCAAGGTTTCCTGCACAGTTAACAATAACTATTGAGTGTACTGTACATCTTCAAAGGCATTCAGATTTCCACAGAAATATGCTGTACCAACATTAACAGCAGGCCAAATTGGTGTTGGTCATGTAGTTGGCGGTAAAATTCACTTTCAGATGTTTGATGTGGATGTGTGAAAACCCTGGCTGTGTTGACTGACTCAGTGATGGATCTGAGATCTACATTTCATTCAATTTCACTTTAAAAACTTTGCTTTGAAATGAAAATAGAGAACCGGTGACCTGAAGGTTAGCAGTGAAACGGCAGATCATTTCTTCAACATTTCTAAACTTCTGTGGATCTGATTAGAGGGTCTAATTTTCCTCCCCGTTCTCTCCTGTCCCCTTGATGAGGCGCTTGTTGCCCCTCTTCCCTCCTGGGCCTCTGGGCTTAGCGAAGGCCTGCTTCAAGGTGTGCTCCATGGGGTGCACCTCCTCGTACAGGAAGTCTTCTGTCAGACCGTCGCCGCTGTCTATTTCCATCTGAACAAACACACAAACCAGGGGATGATGACTGATTCAGTGGTCGTCAATACTGCATATAAACCTGCTGGTTATGTGGATTAACTTTTACCTTCTTGGTGACTTCCAGCTGGTAGTCTCGCTCCACCTCGTCCAGTAACCGGTTCTTACAGCTGGAGTACAGCATCCGCTCCTTGATACTACAGGTGTAGCCAGGCATCGAGTATATGAACACTGGAGGAGGCATGAAGGTGATCAGAAAGGGCACAGCAGTTATAGCTTACTTTAAAGCTGCAGTGTGTAGTTTATATAAAAATATACATATTTCTTTTATATATTAGTTCAAAGTGTCTCTGTGTTGTGGCAGTTTTTATGAGACAGAGAAACTGTGAAAAGATTGATTTCCTTCACCTCCTTCCTAAGCCGTCTGATGAAATGCACCAATCAGAGTCAGGAGGCGGGTCTTAGCACTGTCAATCATCCTCATGTACTCGCTGCTCAATGTGCTAACGGCAGAGAAACAACTTATTGTGACTCGGTATGCTGGCTACAGCATAGCAGAGAGAAAGGGGAGCAGTAAGAAGGTGGTGGGATGAGCAGCACCACAGCAAGGGTGATTGACAGCACTAATGCCAGCCTCCTGGCTCTGATTGGTTGTTTCTAGATAGCATTTGGAACAATGGGAGAAGGCAGAGGAGCTTGATTTTTACACAGATTTTCTATTTCATACAATAATATAATAATATGTTGACAGTTTCAACAAATATAAAGAAAATGTTTTAATAAAAGTTACATTCTGCAGCTTTAATAACCAATATGACATCTTACTTACAATACTTACAAGGTACATCCTCATCAAGTTATTAATAATATAGAGTAAATGCAAAAGCCAAATGATGAATAATTTATACAAATTGATATTTAATTCAAGCAGAAGTTCATTTGCCTCTGATGTCGTAACATGGACGTTTGAAAAGCACAAAACTCAACCTCAAAACTTTCTAATTGCAAGTTTTCTTCACTGTAATCCAGTTAAGTAAAGACAGGTTGCAGGGCAACAGAGTCTTCAATTGTTTTTACAACATGTTGCCCAGTTTAGCCTGAGTACCATTGAATAAACTACCTGAATACATGACTGTTACCCTTTATGAAGTGTAAATTGGCTTTCTAAAAGCAACTAATTAGGATTCAAATCTAATTAAGATAAAGAAAATATCCCATATTTGGTTGAGAAAGTTTTTTGTCAAGAATTATTCACACTTGGTTTTTGAAACTGCTCCATCAGATTAAGCTTCCTTCACCACTAAAGGCTGACGAAGGAAATGAAAACACCAAAGCCTCCGTACAGCTGGCAGGAACATCCGAGATGAGTAATAACACTCACTGGGTGCGTCAGAGGAAGACATCCTTTTGTATTACGCAACCATTTAATTCAGTGTCAGAGGAAGCAACAGAACTGATCTGTAATGCTTCGAGCATGCGGTTGGTTTTCTGTGAGCTGTGGGGAAACACTGAAGCTGACGTGCTCAGAAAGGTCGTGGTTAACTCGACTCTAATCTGTACAGTGAGTCACTAAGACGTGATAGTTGTGATGAAATACCATTTTCACTGAAATGCTAAATTACCGTAATTTTATACTTCTAAATGTAACTGAAAGAGATAAAGACAGTCAAAACAGCTCAACCTAAACATCACTCACACAGGCATTCACAATAAAAAAGAGTTAAACCCCAAATTATTCATACCACAAAGAGTATAAAAGAACTCAATTATGCCAACATTGTCTATTCTTACTGGAGGTATTATTAATTTTGTTCGTCCTGCAGGTTAGGACAGGTCATTGGTCTATGCAAAACATTGCTAGGCGATAGGCAATGCCTGTTGATTTGTGACGTTACATTCTGGAGGTTTTTGAAACAGGACATTTTTCAGACACCAAGGAACATAAATTTATTGCCAAAAACCGACCAGGTGTTTTTTTTTTTTTTTTTTAAATGCTTAGGCTGTTTTTAAAAGGAGTCCTACTATATATATATATATATATATATATATATATATATATATATATATATCTATATATATATATATATATATATATATATATATATAAAAATTTGCACAATAAAATCTCCTTTAAGATTTTTGAGTTGTCCAGTCAACTTAGTTTTGATCAAAAATTTGTTACATCAAACAAATTTTAGTAGATAATTTGCCAAAAGTACGAGAGGAAATATTCAAAACTAGTCCAGTACAAAATCATGTTTGTGGTGAAATCTAAACACTGTCCGACCTCATTTATCTTTCTGCATGTTTTCATCTCGTCTCATGTATACTGACCCAGCGCCTCCTGCAGCTGGCCTTGATGGGAATGCTTGAAGACAAAGAAGTGATATCGAGGGGAGTCTGTGGGAATCCTGAAGGGAAGCTCGTGGGTTTCTGTGGGTTCGGTGTGAACCAGCTCGATCGTCTCTCTCTCTACATCCACCCTCTGGAGCACAACATATCCCATTTAAATCACTTTAAATGTAACTCATTATATTAAAAACGACAGTGTGAAACAAAGACTTCCCACTGATTGCACAGCGGTTTTGTTTCTCACCAGCTGGATGTAGTTGATGCGTTTGTGCTTGAGCTGCTGCAGAGCTCGTTGGGCGTCTTCCTGTAAAGGGAACGCGAGACCCTGAAGAGTCTGTGCTCTCTTGTCTAAACCAAACTCCATTGTGACCTGGAGAGACGAAACGCAGAGCGTTACGAAATCAGCTCTCTTACTGCAGAGTGTAAAATGAGCGAAGAAGCAGATGATCAGAGCTGACAGACCCTCGCTCGCGCTGTTGGGGTTCCAATTTTTCTCCGTTCCTCCTGCAAAATAAAGAGCAGTTGCTTTATTTGACTTTTGTTAATTGCAATGAACACGCTCGAATTCTTGTGTATTCTCCTACCCAGACAACTTTATCCTGAAGCAAAAGAAAGTAAAAAGACTATCAAGCACTAGCAATGAACACATTCTACATGCAGCACCTTCACATTTAGAGCACTTTAACTTGTTTGGATTTGTTTTACTTTTGCAAGGCAGATTTCAAAGTATTTTATTGGTATTTTGTGTGAAAGATAATAATCAATCTCGCAGATCTCAACATTTATTTTCGTTTTCCACTCTGATAAATTCAGTAGAGAACATTATGACACAAAAATATGTCGCTTAATATCTTCCTCTGTGTCTCTGCTAGATGGAAGCCTCCCCAGAGCATGATGCTGCCACCACCATGTTTAATGCTGTCTTTATGGTTTTCTCTTGACAATAGTTTTTTTTCTGCTTCTCCTACTGGAACTGTGAATCTCTGCAGCTCCTCCAGAGGAACTGATCAATCCTCTCTCTGCCTGGACGCTCCATTTGCCATTGTTCTTCCAATTTTATATAATGGACTAAATTGGTGCAGACGTTCGTAGTTTGTTTTTTTGTTTTTTTTTATAACCTATCCCTGCAGTAGACTTTGCAATTGTAAAATATTTTACAAAAAAAATGCATATTTTTTTCTTCCACTTCACAACGACTACTTTGTGTCACTTTACTCCTAAAATATCAGTGAGAAAACATAAACATTTGTGCTCATCACATAAACTTCTCATTAAAATATGCTCAGACACTTTTAGACGTGTCAGTAAAACCTCCAGACAGCTCATGTGATTTGTTCAGCACCTCTGTGATTTTGATTCGTTGCAGTTCCTGCTCGGTCGACGTTAGAGGAGCTGGAGAGGAGCAGGAGGAACGGTGGCGCATGTATCCCTGAAAGCACAAATCGTCCTGCAGACAGAGAGTCGACAAAACTGTCACTCAGGAGACAGCTGGCGGACCTCAGTATATTTTATTTTTTTCCTCACCTCGACTGTGCCGAACATTTCGCCTCTGATGTGACCTCCTCCAAACTCTTTCTTCAGTGTGGCACGGGTCGCAGCGTACATCATCTTCTGCCTCACCTACAAAACACACAGGAGGAATTTTCTGTAGCTTTTAAGTAAAATCTTTTTTTATTATTTTTTATTATTATTATTTTAGTATTATTACTTCATTAATCCGTCCATTTCACAATAAAAAGTAGAAAACAAACTCGACTGGTTGGACACAATCAGCAAAAGAATTTCTTTTAGTTCAACTGGAGATTATTTCTTTATTTTAGGTCCAGAATAGGTTTGATGTAAATAGCAGCAACAAAATATTGAGAAAATATTTCTTGTACATTTAGTTTGTGAACAACCATTTACACACCTCAGCACAATTCAGAGTATTCAATTAACCTAGCAGTAATGTTTGTGGATGATTTTCACTCTAATGCCTCTGAATAAAATGCAGCGTACCCACAGAGCTCATTGAATTAATAAAGTCAACGTGTGTAAATAAATCAAAGTTTCGGTCAGAGTAGGGAAACTTGAGTTCATTAAATGTTAAATGTTTCTGTTCTCCAACACTTGACTCAAATCCTGAAATTATCATCTCTGGCTCTGGTGACGTTCTGTAGCAGCCTGCTGGTTATTTCATCCTGAAACACCTGAACACATCATCTTTACAGTGAGACACGGTAGTAGCAGCATCATGCTGTGGGGTTTCGTTTTGTCAGCTGATCAGATCTGATGGGAGAATGGATGAGAAGAGGCTCCAAAAACTGTCACCGAATCCATGATTGGAATAATCATCGAGAAAACCATCCTAAAAACACAACCAGAGCTGCAACACAGCGATCGAGATTGAAGCATATCCATCTGGCCTAGTCAAAGGTGAGATCTACATTGAGTTCAAAGTCCTTGGAAAGACATAAAACCTTATGCTCACAAACACTAATTATATTTTACTGGTTTTGATTTTGAATTTCTTTGCTTAGATTACACAGCAATTCATGGCTGTAACACTTAAAAATCCTAATATTACATTTTTTTAAATGTTTTGCATTTGACTAAATCAAAGAAAGAAATCAAATTTGTTTTGACAGAATATTGTTAAAGTCATTCATTGAAAAGAAGAATTGATTATTAATTTAAGAATCTGTTTGCACCTGATTATGGATGACTTAAATGTCGTTTAAGACTCTTAATTCATTTCTCTTAAAAGTCAAACGAATTAAAAGAAAATAACTGAAGTCATTAAAGTGTCAAGTCATTTACTCAATGACTTAAATTATTAAAGTAAATGACTTAAAAAACAAACAGGAAGAAACAGTTAAACTAAAATGATCACTTGCGGAAATGAAAATAGAGGAAAAGCAGCAAAAATCCAAAGAAAAACATAAAAGGACTAGAAGAGAATCTGGCTGCATAGATTTGAAAGAAATAAAAATGTTTTGGAGCAAATCAACTTATTTTCTCTCAGATTCTCTGTAAAGTTCAAATTACTTTTGCACAGAAATTAATATCTTGTATCCAGACTTACTGGCGACTGGTCCGGTGACCATGAGATGAACATCCACTCGTATCCCTGTGCATTCTGGGAATCCAGGCGGTAAAGGATGTAGCAGGGCTCCTGAGGCGTGAGAAGAGGAAGCACAAACTGATCGTAGTCTTTGTCCCAGCTCTGCACCGGCTCTCTGAAGGAATCCAACACCAGCTCCTCTGCAGCAGAAAATAATAATTATAATAAGAGAGAAAAAAACAAAATAGGCCTACTCTTAACTCAACCAGGAGGCTTGTGAGCAGAAGACATGTTCACCATTGCTGATTATGATCTTCATTATTCTGATGGAGCCTCTTCTGGCTTGAGCCAAGAACTGTCTGAGCTCCGGTGCAGCTGCAGTAATCAGATATAAGGCAAAACAAAGTTAAAGAAACAAACATTGGTTCTGCAGGTGAAAGCCACTGAGACGGTTTGGTAAGTAAGAAGCTGTGACTCCACTGAGGAGTGAACATTTGATTCACAGCCAGGTATTCATCACAAACGGACTCAGAACTGACTCAACACGCCGGCCAGGCTCTGACCCGCAGCAGCTGCTGGACAAAACCGACTTAAGTTCAGAAATAAAATTTAAAAATATTCTGTGTTCCTGATCTGGTCTCACTGAGGTCACCAAACCCTGCGATCTCATGAAAGATGTAAGATCAGGTGAGAAAGAGGAACACTTCCGTTAACCAGTCCTCCCAGTGCTCCAGTCAATGAACTCCATTACACACACACTACTGCTGCTGGATGAACGAGTTCATTATCAAACAAGCAGACATTTCAGCTAAACATTTTGTGTGACTCTTTGTAATTTTAACATAACTTGAGCAATGCAAGTCCCCCCCCCCTAGAAAGCTCCAATCTAATGAGATTTGCCGCCTTACCATTAATCCCAGTTTGGTGTGACATCCTTTGGCAGTCGCTGTTCACGGTTTCCCGTTCGTCTCATGCAGCAGAGACCCCTTCCAGGTCCTCAGTGTCCTCTCTCTCTCTGCAGGTGAGCGGCCTCTCCTCCGAGGGCAGACAGAAACAGAAGCACGCACAAGTGACATAAACGCCTGGAGGATGACTCGGGAGCTCCCTAACGCCTGAAACACAATCTCCGGAAGTGTGGCCAATGAGTAATAATGTGCCTGTCAGTGGATATGCCTCCCCAATGGGCGATCTAAAACACTTTGCATATCGATGGCAGCAGCGGTAATGGTCTCGCCACAGGTGGAGTCTTAAATGGGTCGCTTGACTTCCCGTCTGGAGAGCCGGAGATGTTCGGGCCCGAGATCAAAACTGTGTTTCCAGAAGCTGCTTCTGTGTCCCGAATAATGACTTTTTAGCACTCCTTCACAAAGAGCGGACAATCAGGCAGACGCAACAGCGTGATCTCAAATTCCAGCCACCTGCTCACAGAAACGTGACACCAGGCCAGAATCTGATCGCCACGTTTGGACATAGTTCCCCCTTCCCACGAACCTGCAGTCCGTACATGTTGTGCCTGTGAGCAGAGAGTAGATGAATGAGGAGCTAAGAGCAGGACAGCTGCAGGTGCAACCTCTGAAAACTCACCAAGTGGCATTTTGTCATAAAGTCTGCACAACATTTTCATCATGCAAAAACCATAAACTAAAGTGAATTATTATACAAATCGAAAAACTGTATTCAGTAACTTTTACTACATTACCCATAAATAAAATGTAATGAAACATGTCAACCTTTGACACTTTTCCCACGGTAAAATTCAAGCACTTTTCAAGTTTCTTATTTTTTTTTTTTAGTTTTCCAGCACAATACTTTGGAGATTAAAATAACACAAACAAATGAAATAAAATGGTTTCAATTCATTAATATATATATGTGAAGCTATGCTATTAACAATGTCTTGTGATAGAATTCAAACATCCGTACAAACCCTGCATTGAGCATTTTACCAATTTATCCAATTCAGCTTTACAAAATGAAAACAGTTGCAGCTCAGAGGAAGCTTTGGAGGAGCCACAGCTCAGGTACAATGTTTGTCGATTGGACGACTTTTTATTGAGCAACAAAAAATATGCAGCAGTGGCAAACATGTGGGCTGCGTGAAAAACGCAGTGTGGCAGAAAAACAACAAACTGAGCAAACATCGGTGACCTTGAAACTTGGAGGTAGAGACAGGGATGCTGGTAAGAGTTCATGGGGAAATGAACTCTTACCAAGCGAGGCAATCCTGGGAAAACACCTCAGAAGCTGCAACTCAAATTTCTACTTGTAAAACAAAAACTAAGAAGAAAAAAATGGTTTCAGATTCCCACTACAGTTCTTCACAATGTTGTTTTGGTCTTTTACATGAACTCGTAATGAAGTTATTGAAGTTTGTGGTTGGAGTGAATGAAAAGGTGAAAAAGTACTTTAGTAAGGCACAGTTTGACATGAAACACCACACCGACTTTTATGTAAGAGGAGCTTCATAGTGATGTAAAATATCTGGATAGACGTCGGTATCACAATCGCCAGACACAAAAACGAGCTAAAGCAGAGAAGAGACACCAGAAGTACTCAAAGTTTAAAGAGAGTGAGAATAAATTGGTACAAATTTAAACTGCTGTGCTTGATTTTTTTCATTTATTCGCACTTGATTTGCTCGCACACACACATGCTCACACGTGGGTGTCGGTCAGAGACAGATTAGTGTGTGCCTGTGAGGTTACCTGTGATGGGATCATCCATTATTCACTCTGTGGTGAGTACACTACCCAAGCATGTATACATTATTCAGCGTGGCTCCCACCCCTCCCCTCTGCTTCAGGAAGACAAAGTTTTAGATGCACAAGGACACACCACTGTCTCTGATTCTCAGTTTTAGAGACTGACCTGACAGTTTTCAGGTCAGTACTTCAAATTATCCAAACGTTCACGATGACTATATGACATAATTATGGAAAATGTACCGAGAGCAGCAACCATCTCAACAAGCCAGTTTACGTTGAACTTCACCACAAAAACAACCCACTAAGTGAAATGAGGCTTATGTGTTTGACTAAGTGTGAATTTATGCAACTGGAAAACTTTGTGGTTAAGTATCACATATTTTAAGCTATAGAAAATTAACAGTGTTAAAAGCAAAAGTCTCCCAAAGCAGCATCCAAACTTTGCACTTAAGACTTAAAGTTAATTTTGTTTTGAAACACTCGCATTGCTGAAATACACGTGGCACGTTTCGACATTACTACATTTGTAGTAATGTTTGAACAACAGACATAAAAAATAAAAACTTTCAGTCTTTATCACATATGGACACAATGAGTCTCATTGATATATTTTCATTTTAGTGCTTTTCAAGGAAACTCGTTTTGCCTTTTGTTTATTTAGTTTCAGGTTTTGGAGTTTGTGAAATGTTGGACCGAAATAGACGGATGGACGCTTAGAACAAAAATGGCAAAAGAGAAAAAAGAAAGTTTATTATTAAAAACCTCAGTAAAAGCTGTCCATCGAACAGGTAGTACAAAAGACATGGTATAAAATTATGAGCACATAAACTGTCTTAAAAACATTATTTTTTTTCTTTACAAAGAACTGACACCATCTTTTAGCCTTTCACAGGATCCTGACGCAAAAGGAACAATAACTTAAAATGCAAAATTAACGGCATTTGAAAATACTTCTGAATTTCTTGGTTAACAAGTTGCAGCTGTGCCAAGGTAGAGTGCAACACATGAAGATATCCGACTTCACTGCTGGGTCGGAAGCTGTTTCAGCCCTCTATAAGTCATCAACGCACGGGAGCCAAAGAGACTGGAAAACACATGAAAACAGTAAAGATTAACAAGAACAGCAAAATCAGAAACACTTTGTCCAGCAGTGCGTCTCCGAGAGCGTCATATAAAGTGTTTGCTCTCACCGTGTTTGTGCAGGCGCTGGCAAACGTCATATATCTGGGGTTAAACTGCAGAGTGTTGATAGGGCCTGGATGTTTGCCGTCCAACACGGCCACCTTCATCCCACTTTCAGTACTCCAAACATGAACTCTTCCGTCCTCTGAACCTGCACAAGACAGAGTCTGTGTACAGCGCCGGCCCAAAGTGGTCAAACTCCTTTGACCTTTTCACATATTGCTTCGTTATGACCACAGACTTCAGTGCAATTTGTGTTAAAGAGCAGGCAATGCCAGACAGGTTGAGGAGAAAATGGTTGGGTTAGAAAACAGCAACCTGAGCTTTGAAAATCTCAGAGGAGAATAATTTTCATCGTCTTGTGAAACCTACTGTTTGACTTCCAGCATGACGACGACTGGCTGAGACCTAAATCTGCTTAAGATTTAACAGAGTTAACCTAAATCTGTGTAATTTGTGATCAGTTAAAGTAAGTTAAATAATTTCCATTTGTGTATTTTATTGGTTTTCTTTTCTCTCCCTCTCCTTCTACCAAAAAATTGGTGCTTTGATCTCAATTAGCCCTTTTTTTGAAGGACAATTTTCTTTAGAGAGACTTCATATTTCATTTTATTTGTTGTTTCTGTTGTTTTGTTTTTATTTTTGGATATTTTCAATGCCTTCCAGTTTAATTATCTTTTGACATTTATGCCACGTCATTATGCCACTACCTTTATATAACTGGAAACTTGTCTCAAAACAACAATATTGTCATTTATCGCAATAATTTCAGAGACAATTTATTGTCCAGTAAAAGAAGTAGTTCTGTTTCTTACCAATCATGACAAATTGTGAGTCTGGGGTGAAGCAGGCCTCCAGGGTGATGCCCTTGTTATTGTTGTAACCCTGAAATCAAGTGAAACACTGTGACACATCCAGCTATTTACCAGTCCTGTCTCTTTATTACATGTTAATGAGTCTCACTGAAAAAGTGTGCAGCACCGATCCACTGAAGGCATTCAGGATGCGAACGGCGCCTCCATTGGTGCAAATGAGAATGAGCTTCCCATCGTTACTAAATTTCAGTCCAGTCCAGTCACAGACGCGGTTTAATCTGGCCTCAAAGCACGCAAAGGGACCCTAACACAAACAGGAAGATCATTTCAGGAACTAAAATCAGACTGGTTGCTGCTTCACAAAGGTCAGGTCAGCCATCTGACAGTGATTTGTACCTTGTCAAAAGCACGAATGTCGTACAGTTTGATGGCCTGTGATTCCACACCAGCTGCAAAAACCAGCCCATCTGGGTCAAATGAACACACAGGTTTCCCCAAAGGATCGGTCAAACCCTGAGACACAAATCAACACAGAGACAAGACAACGGTATTTAATGAAACGCCACCATCCTACATATTTTTTTTTCCAATTTTCTTTGTTTTATTATCAAAGATAAAGTGGAGCTTGAACTAAACTCTCACTTGACAGTTGGGAGATCGCAGATCCCAGATGCGGATCGTCTTATCCAACGAACTGGAGATGAACGTCTCGTCCACCGGAGACATGGAGAGTGCCGTTACCCTGATTGGAAAAGTATAATTCACTTTGATCGTTCAGGAAGGAGCTGTCAGTTCATATAAAGCAAACACAACTTAGTCTGGTAATGCTCCAACATCCAAACTACCTTCATAGGAAACGTTGAAAAGTTTTCAGAAAATGCAACAAAAGTGAAATAATGGCACGTTACAGAGTTTTTACTGACAAACCCATTTGAATATAGATTTTCTTGAATTAAATCTAGAACTTCATCCTGCCAATAAAGGTTCAAAGTTTAAGAGAAACACATTTCTTAACTTTGTTACATAAGTTGATATTATGGAGATAGAAAGTGTTTGTGGATTATGAGTGACTCAGTTATTTTACTGGGAATGTCTGTGATAAACAAACACACAGATCCAAACTAACTCTGTCTGCACATCAACATACCATCTACACGAGGATGATGGCCATATCATGCAGTAGGATTTTTTTTCAGCATGAAACAGGGGAAGTTGGTCAGAGTTGTTAGGAATATACAGCCACAACTACAACTGAATGAATACAAGTGTATTTGAGTTAGGAAGGTCTAGTCAAAGTCCAGAGGAATTAGAAGTTTGTGGCTGTAGCTTGACAAAATGTGAAATAAAATAAACCCCCCCTGAAGGAAAACAAATGCTTTCTCAAGGCTGAACGTTGACTCTTTTGCGTATTACTTACCTTGCAGTGTGACCAGGGAAATATCGGATAAACTTGTTGTCAGTGAGCGACAGATATCTAATAGTATCTGGAAGACAGAAAACAATCTCTGATTAATGAAAACGAGGTTTGGAGATGACAACAGGCTGTAACATGCAGGTTCGGACCATCCAGCTTGTTGGAGCTGAAGACCACAGTCTGGGCTTCCCTCTGCGTGAAGCGGATCAGATCCACCCCGTACTTCTTGCTGTACAGAGTACTGAACGGCCTGGAGCAGAAACAAATCACAAGTTAACTCATATCCACACGGCTGTGGTTCATAAACATTGCCCGCTTACTTTCCCTCCTGGATGTCATATAAAACGATAGAGTCGTCGTCGCTGCTGGAGACGGCATGTTCTCCGTTTGAGCTGTAGTCCACACAGTTAACTTTCTCTGAATTCAGGCGGTAAATCCTGGCGACTTTAAAACTCCTCAGCAGGCTGTCCGTGATCTTCATCGCTCCAGAAGCCCATTAAAAACATGAAAACAAAGCAAGCACTTTCTGCTCGACTTAACCGCGTTTTAAAATCATTTCTGCTTACAAAAGCGTTGCATTATTTCTGATTACCGCTGACAGGCAGGTATAATTGGTTATATTTTATCATATGTGTCATATTATGTTTTTCTTCCTCTTCTGATTCTTCTTGGTTTTTTTAGTTCATTGGCAGGAAACGTTTGGTACGCGATACCGCCATCTACTGGAGTGGAGTGTGGCTAAAAAAAATTGTATTATATATTTTTCTTTTATTTCTTTTATTTGTCTTTTTACTCTTTTATTTTTATGTCGTGGAAAGTTATGCTTCAAAACATCCAGTAACTTTTTAGTCAGAAGCATTCTTACGTTAAACACAGCACCGGTTTTAATAAAAAAAATTAGATTTTTTTTTGTTGCTGGAAATGAACTAAATACATCTCAGATCATTCATATATCAAACAAATAAAATGACCAAAACTTTGAACATTAACACAGTAATGTGTTTATGTGCACTTTTTTTTCTTGTTGCACAAAACAGAGTAGAAAAACAATTGGCCCCAGAGGTTAAATAATAATAATTTAAGGCAAATGCAAAAGTTATTTTAAGGCAAAAGTTACGATTGGTAAAAACAACAATAAAAAAAATCTTGTCTAATTAATGTTGTGTAGGTAAAGGAGAAAGAAAATTCTAAATAATATTATTTTTGCAGTTTTTTTTTAATAGAGAAAGATACAAAAGTTTCACTTGCAAAAAGTTTTGACACCACTGAGCAACACGCTTGAATCCTTTTACTTTGAAAAGTGCGACCCGGATATGAACTCATAGTGTTTCCTGCACCGTTGTTTTCAATGGCTCGTGCGTTATTCCTCTCTTCACCTTGACTCGTAATGAGCTGCTGTAAAGCAGCGGCCGTTCTGGGCGACCAGATGCTTCTTTCTCTGGTTAAATCGCGGACTATCTGCCGCCGGCTCCCGGCCGCAGCTCCGGGCCTCAGCCGGGGTCAGCACACCGCGGCTCAGCTCTCGCCAGGCGGCTCGGAAACCGCTGACAAACCCCGGCTGAAGGCCATCGACCTGGCCAGAAAGATCCGACAGGAGAAGGCGAAGCCTCGGAGTGAATCTCGGACTCAGGAGACGGATCCTCCGGTGTCCGGCTCACAGCAGAGAGTGGCCGAGCTGAAAAGGTTCACTGCGCAGCTACAGCACGTCCATCCGAACGTGCTGGCCAAACATCTGCACCGAACCGCGCTGTACCGGGATGAAGACGTGGTCGTCCTCAACAAACCCTACGGCGTCCCTGTCAGAGGTAAACCAGGTTCCTGTTGGGTTCAGAAAGAGCGGAACCAGCAGCGGCTCTTCACAGGATCTTCTAAATAAAATATATTAAAATATTACTAAATTGAACAGTTTGGTTAAAGTAGGTTTCCCATCGTTACCATGAAAAAATGTAACGAGACATTAAGACATCAAAGTAACAATATATATATATATATATATTGTAATATGTGTATATTACTGTTGAATTGATTTAAAAAATGGGCACATTCTGCAAATTTTTCACTTAAACATTTTTATTTATTATAAATACATCAAAAGATGCGAATAAACAGATATTTCAATTCCATTTTTAAATAAGTAAATATGGCCTAAACCATGATCAATTGTAGCAAATGATGCATCTGCACATAAAAAAATGAATTAAAATAGCTAGAGCTATGCCTATTGTGGTGCTTTGGGTCAAACATCTTTTTTTCACATATTACATCTAAATGCAAAATGTATTTGTTTTTATGTAAATTTTTTGGTTTTTGCTGACTGTTGTCCCAGCAAGTGGCCTGTTTTGAGTCATGCATGGGGTGGGAGGCATATGTATGAGGTAAAGAGGGTTAACCATCCTCTGAGTTGTTCTCCCAGTGGTGTGATTTAAAACGTTTCCATTAATCTGGCATTTGGATTTTAATGAAGCGATACCAGGGCTCCTCATTGAGCAGCTAAGAACTGGAATGACTTTTAGAATTTGTAAAACTCTTCTCTGTCTTTTAGAAGAGTCTGGTGTCACGAGCGTCGCCTCTGTGCTTCCGGTTCTCTGTAAAATGCTGGACGGGCTGAAGACGAAGACAGACACCAAGCTGCTGCCCTCTCTGGGTCTGGAGAAGGACTCATCCGGAGCGCTCCTGCTGGCCAGGAGCGAAGCAGTACTGGAGCACATCCTCTCCCTGAGTAGAAATAACCAAGTGGAGAGGAAGTATTGGTAAAGCGATGGCTGTCATTATCATCAGCCGCATGTTTTCATTTTAAATGAAGCTCCTGTGTTAGTTACCAAGGTCTCTGCGTTTCCTCAGGGTGATCACAGTCGGTGTGCCTGTTCCGTCTGAAGGGGTGATCGACATTCCCATCATCGAAAGAGAAGTTACAGGTCCTACGCCACATTTCAAGGTGTTTCTTATCCTCCATTTTTGATTATTTGTTCAATGAGAATGTAATAAAGATGAGTCATAGCTGCACTTAAAAGCACGTACTATGCTGGTAGCGTTAGCTGTACAGCTGATGACAACGTGCACACCACTTATAAAAACAACCACATTTTTAAATGCCACTCTGTTCGTTTCAGTGCGAAAAGATAAAAATACAGATCCATCTTTAAATTTCAGCAAGTCGTCTTCGCTGCGCCTGGATGCTTAAATTCATTGGTGCCACATGATTCCCTTCAGTACAGACGGATTGGATCGTTTATAATTTATTAATCCCAGAAGGTGAATTATTACAAAACAAAATAAAAAAAGTGTGTGGAATTAAAACTAAGATGGTTGGAAAACACTTTAAATAATGAGAATGTCGTATAGCAGCTGCCTGGAACGACTTAATTGTGTTAAGCAGTTTGTACATAGTAAAGTGGTAGCACATGTAAAGCAACAGTTTAATAAAGTGATATAAAGATGTCTCCAAGTAAACACTGGATTGTGATCAAATTTAGATTATATTGAACCATTTGATTGTGATCTAATTTAGGTAAACATGCAGGTTTAGGAGAAAAGCATATTTTTTTTATTTTGGTTTTGAGTTTTTAGTATTGCTTTACTTTTGAGCCAAATGTTTTTCAAACATTTTGAATTTGATCTTTTTTTTTTTAATCTAAGACTATTATTTCAACTGAGCTGATGACCTGATATAGCTTAGGTATTTATCCTGTGTGGTGACGGGTCCTGCTAGATGGACCGTCCTGACACCAAATACTGTGTTCATCTCAACACGGCGTGCTGAACTGCTCAGATTTATTCTAGTAGAATAGACTTGATTACCACCGGTTTATGATTTGTGATGATTAAACTAAAGAGAAATATTGAAATGCAGGTAATCTTGCTGATGAACACGGGCTCTAGTTTCATAACATTTCATTTCAGATGACGCTGAGTCCGCTTTTCCGAATGAATGAGGCCGGTGACGGCGTATCCAAAGTGCGAAGCCACCGGCAGGCCCATGCTGCAGCCACCAAGTACCGAGTCCTGGACAGCGGCTACGGCTGCAGCCTTGTGGAGCTCCAGCCTCTCACCGGTTAGGCCACATTACTGCAGCCGACGTTACTTTTCATTTTTTCCTTCACCAAATCAGTTTTAGTTCCAGTTTCCCTGTTTTCTTGCATGTACAGCGGTGAAGCACCAGATGCGGGTACACATGGCGTACGCTCTGGCGTGTCCCATTCTTGGAGATCACAAATATTCCCACTGGAACAAACTGGCACCACAGGTGAAACATGTTAATAATAATAATAATAATAATATATATATATAACCAAGTATATATATATATATATATATATATATATATATATGTATTATATGTGTGTGTGTGTGAAGTTTTTACTGTTAGGCCACCTCAGCTTTTGCCCAAACTTGAAAAAGCTTGCTTCCTCCAAAGACACAGGAGCAACTCATCTCAGTGACATCTTTTATTTATTTTTTTTGTCTTTAGATGAATCTCATGTACAACCTATGACCAAACATGTGTAGTGAAGTGAATATTTTATCACTGAAATGTACTTTTTGGTGGTTTTCTATTGTCCTTTGAATATTCTTGTAGAAATGTAATTATTTGGTATTAGAATAAAACAAATGGTTGACAAAGCTTCGATGAAGGCTTAGCTTAGCTTTTTGTTTTCCAGAAATTACCGGAGCGTGTGCTGAAAAAGCTCGGAATGGAGCAGAGCAAGAGCCGGTACCTTCCTCTTCATCTGCACGCGCGTCGGCTGGAGCTCCCGGGTCGCAGCCAGTCCGATGTCGCCGTGTCCTGCCCCATGCCCAAGTACTTCATAAAAACACTCAACAGACTGCAGCTGATGTTCCCAGAGGACAAAAATGATGGATAATCCCTCTGTGTCTGCAGAAAGCTGGGTTATACCGAGAGGCTGCTGAATAAAGGAGAAATAACCATTTAAATTAAATGGGGACTTTTATATTAATACTGACCTGAGTTTATGTTTATAAGAATTTAATAGAGCAAAAGAAGAGTTTGTTTTGTAGAAAATGGTTGCATTTGTTACTGTACTGACCTATATAATGTCTTCATATTAAAGTGGATATGCTAAGGAACACCAAAGTGATTATTTTTTCTTCCCTGCATTATTTGACACAATTCAAGATACAAGAATATTTCCAACCGTTTCTCCTCTTTAATATACTACTATACACACATACATGAAGGGCTAAAGATGGCAAAATATTTGGTGGCTCTCCAATTGCTAGTTTTAACCAGGGAGGAAATCAAGTCTACTGAATAATTACAATAAAATCCTGGATCCTGTTGAAAATTGACAAGCCTCAAAACCAAGTAAAAAAAGAAAAAAAACAAACAAAAGGCACACATTCCTCAGATTTAAACATATCAATACATTGTTTGAATTGCAGTCAGAATACAAAACCGGAGCAATTGTCCCTGTAATCATGAGCTGCAACCTATCATAGCGAGAGCTTGGAGAGAAGTAAGACGCGAGAGTAAGATGTTCAGTATTGAATAATTTTGTATCGTGTCAATAAGATGTCTACAGGAAGAAAAGAACAAAACATCCACCTCCGCTCTAACCACCCGCAGCTCACTCAAAGTTCAGAGGTTATAGAGCTGCAGGAATAACTTCCCAACCCCGTCAGATGAGAAATATCTCAGCAAATGCAATCATAATGCTCTGCTCAGAA